TTCAACCTGTGAGTTTCGTCAGTAGCGATGTATCGCATGTCTTTTCGTTGGTAGCAAAATAATCCTCTACTGTTGGTCTTTCAACATTGAAATACAACTGGCCTTGATAACTCTTCAATGCCAGAGAACAAAACAGTCCAACTTTTTTGCAACCACATTGAGCACTGTATCCCTTTTTACAGTTGCAAAAAAAATATGGGTAATCTTAAAACAAATATGTATAATTTAACCGGATTATACGCATTTGCTATGACTTGGGGATCCATATAGACACACAAATAGACTTAATCAATTCAGATGTAGTATCTACTTGTTACATATATCTAAAACTATCTGTGCCCCGTGGTGTTACATGCGGTTTTTAGGGATATTTGCCCGCAGTAAAATGTAGCCTATGTTATAATCCACGGTGTCAGCTAACTCCATACCAAATTTTATTAAAATCTCTCCAGCCGTTTAGACGTAAAGAAGTTACAAACATACACACTCACAAACATTCGCCTTTATAATATTTGTGTGATTCAAGAGTTGAATCTTTGATGATCGGTTGGTGCAACGGTAGTGTTGAGGATCAACCTTTTTTGTTATTACTTGCTGTGCTCTATGTTTTCTTTTTAAACTAAAATATTACATTGATTATGTCACAGACTTTAAGAAATTACATGACGAGTTTCTCACGGTTTTTTAGATCTTTTATTTTCTCCAAAGTACTTAGCTTGTTCCTAATAGGTAGAGCTCTTGCTTTCTGCTCCAATTGTGCCAGTTTCGAATTCCGGTAGGGGTATTTATTTGTATGATGACAAATCACTGTTATAAGCTAGCCAGAATTGATTATTTTATATTTTTATATAAGAATCCTTTGCTGTCCGGTAGAATCGTGTGCTAGTTCGTCTCCAGCTAGTTCGGTGAAGGGACAATTTACCTATAAAATAATAATGTTATGGATCTTTTTATTCCTTTATTCTTATATAAGTATTAAAACAGTCGACAAACTTCAATAAAACATTAACAACCCGAATGTTCCTGATTCGAGCGTATTTCGACTGCTTGCATGCCACGGGAGCTACTACCTTGATACTCCAGAAAGTAAGCTTGGGCTAAATGGTCTGTCAAAAGTGCTTTTGAATGGTTAAAAAATACAAACCTTTTTTAACGTGCAATGCTTATTAAAGCTTATTGCAAAGAGATGACTTTGATATCCAAATTGTTACCCCAATCGTTAAGTTTAGTGCGTTCATTTATATGGATCAAACAAATGTCTCCGTGCTTCGGAAAGCACGTTCAGCCGTTGGTCCCGGCTGCACCTGCAGTCGTTAGCATCCACCAATCCGCACTGGGCCCGCGCAGTGGATCATGGCCCAATCTCCCTATTCCATCCATAGGGAAGGGCTGTGCCCCAGCAGTGGGGACATTAATAGGCTGATGATGATGATGATGATTGATGAAACAAATGTCTCGTTTCAGATGTCTGACATGTGAGCTTTAGATGGATTGATATAATAGAATAAGATCCCAAGACTGCCAGACCTTACTTAATATCTCATGGAGAAATAATAAAGTTAACATACAGTATACAACTAACTTGGGCTGTGCGCAAATTTACAGGTATCAGGTGGAACAAACACGTAATAATTTTACTCAATTTACTGTAAGTGAATCAGTCTCCAGACTGTAAGTCTGATGTAGAGAATATTGTAAACAATTTGAAATTAATACTGCCAGACACATTCTGCCCGCAGTATTTATTTCCAGGCCCTTAAATGTCGAAAGCAACAACCACAAACTTGCTTATTTTTAATAATTTAATTTAATTGTGTCATCACGTTAGCTCTTCAACTTCCTATTTATTTATAAACCGCAGCCGCAAGTTTCTATTTCAGTTTCAATTTGAAAACTCCACCGACCCTCTCAATCACCACTAAAAGCTAATGACTAAAATCAATATCCATTTCTGAGTTACAGCTCTATACCCGAAACTTAGGCCAGTGACGCACGCACCATTAATAATGTAGGGTGACAACGACGCAGGTGCGAGCCGGGACGCGCCTCCGATAAACAGGGCGATGCATAATTGAGCACGTGTGTACGCCCTCTATCCTAAGTGCGCACTAAACTTAGTGTGATGGATGTTTTTTAGGCAGATGAGATGTTTTAACGCCGCTTTGGCATGATTAATGGTCTTGTTTTAGCGCAACTTTTTGATACCTATCACGTGACAGACATCGAGCGAGGCCTTAGTATATATATTTATGAATCTTTTAAAGTCTGGATATGCAAGACTTTTAAAATAAAGGGATGGATGAAATAGAACGACAATGTAGTTTATTTTAACATTAAATTATAGTATAAAACTAGTTTTTTACGGAATAATGCCGTAAAAAACTAGTTTTATTTAATGAGTGATGTGCGTGAAAACCTACGAAACAATTAAATTATAGTAGTTTATTATTGAAATTATAGGTAATAATTAATTCAATAGAACCTCTACATATAAATAAGTGTAATTTGATTAATTGAGTTTAAGGTCCACTTGTACCAAACTTCTGAATTCAAATTAAGACTTAATCGTGTTTGGTAAGTATTTCTTCCATCTTTGTCAATTGGTTTATGTCAAATTGATATGGTATGAGGTTTAAACCTGATTAGGTTTTAAATTTGAATTAAGAACTTTGGTACAAATGGGCATTAATCTTACATTTCATATGTACTTATAAGAAAATATGACACCAATTCTAATCCTTATTAGCGTTACATCTCTTATCTACCTAATTAGGAAACAGTCAAACCATAAAATGGCGAAGCTGCTTAAGACAGCAATTAAAAATGTTAATGAAAATGTGCACCTTGGGGGACACCCTACTTAAAAGATTATCTCTTGACCTTTAGCGAGTGACCTGTGACCCCGCCACGTGGCCCACCCCGCCGTTTGCTTTGACAATGCTGACCCCTATTTGTTACGACGAGAAATATACATTTTTAATTTTTCTCACAGCCATGACAATGAAATCTGAATTGTATGCCACACTCCCGAATTTCGTAGAAAACAACAAAAACATTTAGTTTCTTAGTAGATTTTTTTTTATATTATACGTTATTTAAATATTTTTGTATAGAATTTGTTCACAATATTAGTTAAACCTGTAATGCTATTTGTTTTTTTTTCATACAATTAATATAAATGTAATACGTTCTCAAACGCACAAACTAATCACTTATTATTTATATTTCGTGATGACTGGTTGTTTCTTTATATAAGCGCCACGTTGGGCGCCAAAGTAATTTACCTAGAATCAGTGCTACCCTCTGTTTGATACCTAGACCTTTTTGTGTAACCTAAACGTATAAATCTATATTATTACTTACTAGAGTTTCGTCTCGGCTTAGCAGGGGTGAACTGTATTTTAACGCGAAAAAGCATATTATTGTTACATGTGTGTTAAGGCCAATAAATGATTTTTCTTTCTTTCATATTAGTAGTAGTAGTAGTATATATATTAGTAGTAGTGTAGTTAGTAGGTACTGGGATTATGTATTAAGAGTATTCTATGACAAAGACTATATAAAATCGGTACAGAATTTTCGAGATTGTAACGGATACATACATTCAGAAGTATAATTTTTTCCCCTTTATAATATTAGTTTAGAAGTGCTGTATAATTATATAAAAAGATATATAGAGAACTCTAGTCTCTACTACAACAACAAATGTTGGAGCTTCATTAGGACAAATAGTTATATGAACATTTTTCAAACATGCTTGGAAATGCGAGCATTATTACAACCTTCTTCGAGATAAATCGAAATGCGACATGCGAGCAGCGGCCGGCAAAAGTTGTATGAAAATTCGTATCTGTCACCTGTCACGTTAGTGACCAAATAAGTTATTAAATTAAATGTCGTCTAATTTCAAAATAGGAAGATTTTTTACTCGACTTTTAACGACGGGACTCGAACCTGCACCCTCCGCTATCCGGGCGGGATGCACTGACCATTATGGTACCGCGGCCCTAGCGGCCGTGTCGAATTCTTCCTAGTATTTCTTAGGCTGCAAGGCATTTATTGCTTCCGGGCCTGCAGTGCCTGCCTGCAGAATTTTATCTAGTAAATTTTCTTTAGATTATAAATATTGTTTTTTTTCAAAATTTCCACGCATTATTTGAGAAAAATACTAAACAAGCCTTGGCCACAATTAGGCATTAATGGACTGACGTAAGAGTGCCTCGGCTATGCCTCGGCTCACATTTACTCATTCGCCCAAAAATGCCTTTTTTGCTGGGTGATGCAGTACTGCACTTTTATATTCATATTCATATATTGCATTCTTGCTGTTTACATGCTGTTACAAAAAATATATATGTATATTATTCCAAACAAGAACCCAGTTAGGGTATTGCAATCATCCTAAACTAAATAGGTAGATCTACAGTCATAATACTACTGTATAACATAATGTAAAAAATAATAATTCAATTTTCCAAAATATAATGCAAATGTAGAATTTTAAAACTTTTAATTATATTTAAATAATAGGTTTAAACTTAATAGTAACAACGATTAGATGTTATTGAATTAAAAAACACTACAACTTGGCTTTGTTCTTTGTTGTGTTTATGTGGCCAAATGATTACAACGATAAGTTGTAAGTAATTAAAACTTTAATTACAAACAATCCGAAACAGCATTCACACGGTCTCAAAAAAATCAATAATAATTCCCTCGACACCATCTACTATTATTAACTATTCTCAAAGTTAAACATAAATCTATTCATTTGTGAAATAATAAGTCTATTCATCTTCGTATGCAAATGACTTGTAAAAATTTCGCCTTTGTTGATAGACTGGTCATTTTATCTCACGATATTCGCGAGGTCCGATCCAAGAGGGGTCATCTCGATACCTTTCCCAACCTTTGTGACATTCTATCTCGGGATATCGCGAAGTAAACACCATTGAAAACGGGATCACTTAGTTACATATTGGGTTTAGTGTTGAGTGGAAATGGATAATTGGATTACTCAGCTGTTTCACGCGCCCACGTTTAGTAAACCGAAGGTGAGTGGTCATCGCATATATAAGAGTTCTTATACATAGTTATTTACCAAACTTCCAAATTTAATGCTTTCACTAAACTAAGGTGTTTGTTGTTCAATCAATACACTTACGTAGATAAATAAGAGTTACAGGGACAGCACAAAAACATGTGAGTTTATTCATGATTCCTGGATAACAGGACTCTTTTTTAAACTGACAAGAGATCTGTAACCGACTACAGTAATACCAAAACGAATTGGTTCTAAAACTAATATATTGGTTATAAAGAAACAGACGTCTGTTTCATAGGCTTCAAGTTTACAGTACACCGGCTACTTAGTAATTTTTATTAAGGCAGTAAGTAGAGGTACTTTTGGTAATAAAAATAAGTACCGAATTTACGTTATGAAATTTAAATTTACTTATACATCACAAATAACTTGCGAACATTTTGTTTGAAGTCTTTAAGCGTGTACAAATTAAGAATAGGTATACAGATCCTAGACATGCGTTTTAAATTAATTTTTAATTAGAGTCGATTGTGTTTATTTTCAATTAAAAGTTCTGTTCAACTGCTAATAATGCAGACTTTTTAATATAAGCAAACCAAAGTATACGTACTTGTATACTTTGATTGAAATATATAACTTGTAAAATTTTAATTAGTTACTTGTTCTGACATATAGAGTATCGCATGCTTTAACAATATTACCTACTTAACACTCATTTTTGAAACTATAATAATATGTTTCTTATAATTGTTATTTTATATCCAAGGCTGAAAATACTGTTGTTTAAAAATGAAGTGATGAAAACACACATACGATGTTTACCAATCAATTCAAAATAAGGCCCTCCGAATAATATAAATATATGATATTATACCTACAGTGAAAAAAATTCTCACTAATAGTGAAAATTTTGTTGCGTAGTTTAGGACCCTTAGTACCAAGTGCCTGTCCTTTGCTGTAAAAACTTTGTACCCCTTATTATTGGTCTATGTATATGTATAACTACAGTCTATACCTAAGAGTAACGAGGGCAGGCCACTAGTCTATACTAATATTATAAAGAGGAAAGATTTGTATGTAAGTATGTTTGTAACGAATTGGCTCATAAAGTACTGGATCGATTTTAAAGATTCTTTCACCATTTGAATGCTGCATTATCACTTATTAATATAGGCTATAGAGTATTTTCGAAAAGTTAGGGTTCCGTATGAAAACTTCGATAACATAACCCTGGGTGGGAAAAAAATACCAAAAAAATAACGTTATATCGCGTAGAGCAAAGTGATGTACTAAAGTTTTATAGAGGACAGTAATATCTACTAAAAGGTCTGCGATACCATATCGCACCTTTATTCCAATACTGTCATTATCATAAAATAAAATTAAAATACAGGATTTGAAATAATGTGTAGATTCATAACGTAGCAAATAGATGGCGTTGTAAACTATTTTTTGAAGATTTTTGTTTAATGACAGTATTGGAATAAAGGTGCGATATATGTCCAACTACTACAGTTATGTCACAACTAAAGGTGCCCCGTGGTTTCACCCGCATCAATTTGAGGAAAACGGTTATAAGGAGCCAAACTTCAAAGATGGGCATATGCTGTCGCGGACTTTTTTATAGAACTTTTAAAGGGAAACAATTCTGCTATACGTGATTTTTGTATAACTTTAATCATTTACGCAGCGCACACAAAGAAAGCTCACCAATGGAATATATTTACCCGTTTTTGCAACATTTAACATTGATGATCCGCTCCTACTGGTCATAGCGCGATAGCAGTCTACACCGAAGCGAAGCGAGGGCGAGCCACTAGTGTGTTATATAAAGAATTAATTGTATTTGCTAAATTACATTAATAGTGTAAAAATATTCAAAACACAATTTTGACGTATATTTTTAGTAGCTACAATAGCCCCGAGTGATCTTACTAATAAATAACCGATATATAAAACTATCAACAGAAAATTTCACATGAATAGTGAAACGAAATAAAGTGTCTCAAAAGTACTTTAAATACGAAAATGATGAGTATCGTAAATTTATAAAATTCAATATCGGAAAAGGCATTAGTGATTTGTTATCCACAGAAAAACCATAACGCATAGACTAGGTAGGTTCAGGAAAAGGAATTAATTACAGTCGAAAGAAACCCACGAATAAGTTTTTACAAATGAACTACATACATATTTCCAAAGCTCGATGCTTTATTCTCAGCGAAATACCAATACTAATAAGTTGGTAAAAACATCGGGAAGCTAAATCCGCAGTGCAACCATTTATTATGGCTATTGGCTTCTGCGGCAAGGAGGCGGACCAAAAAACCGTCGGTACACAGATGATATATGGCGTAAACGCTCCAACGCTCCCGCCTCCGCTCCCGCTGCCGCCTGTGAGCCCGCACATCTGCTCACCTAGCGCGCATTACGCTAACGAGCCACACTAATGGTGCACCGTTAGCGTAGGGTCATCACGTGTCTTGCCGTTACTGAAATATCAGATTCTAAACTGATGAAAAAGTTTTTAGATTAGAGTGTGATATTACGTGATTGTTGTTCTTTTGAAATTGGTTTTTGTTTTTAATATTTACCAATTTGTACTATATGTATTTGTTTACTATGACACAATCGTTTGCTAATTAGCTGTGGTTTGAGATTTATCTATACCCGGGGCCGAAGCCAGAGTTGTATTTATGATAAGGCAGCGATACATAATTACAGGTTTTATGGTAGAGCTATGGTATTTTATGGTAATTACTGTAGATACACATTAGCGGCATTGCCCCACCATAATGCCCCCCTCCTAGCGGCGGCACTGTGTCCATCCATATTTGCTCTGCTAACATACCACATTGAATAATAATGTAATGACCTACTTAACTTGACCTTTCGCATTAAATTTGGACGTGAAAATAAAAACTGTAGATGATATGAAAATATTGACAGCAAAAACTTTGTACCCCTTATTATTGGTCTATGTATATGTATAACTACAACATATTGACAACTGGTTATGATTTTTTTCTATATTTAATTATTTTATTGAGATGAGTAAGCTGGCACAATCCGCAAAATGAAAAGTTACTCGCGCTCTCAACGAAACGTCAACCCTATTCAGGGCAACATAACCGCACGGCGAAAAACCTTCAAATCAAATAAATTACAGCCGACCCACTTTTAACATGTGCCATATTAGTCGCAGTGACAAAAAACGGTTATCTCCGCAAATGAACATGTTGAACTTTATAAGTATACGCGCCGAAGCGCTTGTTTATATATGTACATATTATACTTATACCATTTGTTTGTTCGTGGTTTACGTAAGCATTTTTTATCGACGACCTCCGTGGCCGAGTGGTTTGTACGCCGGGTTTCATGGTGTCGCCGACTCAAGAGGTCCCGGGCTCGAATCCCGGTGGGGGCAGATGTTTGTGTGATGAATACGAGCATTTATACTCCAGTCATGGGTGTTTAATATGTATTTCTATATAAATATACTTATATATGTACAGTATTATATTCTATCCGTTACCCTAGAATTCCATAATACAAGCCTTACAGTGCTTAGTTTGGGGCTAGGCTAATTGGTGTGAGTGTTGAAAATATTTATTTATTTATAAGGAATAATGTAGGTAATATGTAGCTTTATTATGTATATTTTTTTATTATCAATCTATGTATCTCAACTAAAATAGGGTACCTATTTTAAATCAAAGTCAAACTGCGTCTTGAACTCGAAATCAATTCACAATAGGTAAAATGGGTAATATTTTGTCAGAGATATATGTATGTATGTGTTGTGTGTTGTGCACAGTTGGCTTAATATAGAAAATAAATCAATATTATCCTTTGTTATTATTAATAAAGAAATAGGATAATATTAAAATTTAAAAACGCTTATATTAGTTCCATTACCCTATAAACTCACATCATATCTAACTATTAGGTGCTAGTCACTCAAAAATCTCCTAAAATGGTAGAAAATAGAAACGCATGATACCTACGCAGCAAAAGATAGAAAAATACGTCAACATCAGTAACACTCCATCAACTGTCTCGGTTTTTATTTGATCTGAGCTGCCTCCCTGTGTCCTGCATCTTAGCATTAATAACGTTTATATAAAAAACGCATATAAATAGGCTATTTATCTCTTCTCTATACAAAAGCTTTTTAGTATTAAAACAATTATGAAAAGTCTAGACTTTTTTGGTGGGGGCAACCTCAATCCATCATTGTCTCGAGTTTATAACGATGTGCCCGGTGGGAATAAATCAGGTTAGAAAAGGAACATAGACCTTTTTGGTTTTTTGTTTAGAATGATATTATATCTAGTAGGAGAAAATTCACTAGTGTACCTAGTACCTATATATATGTATATATATAACCACAAAATTACAGCTTTCTAGTGCTAATAGTCTTCAAGCAAAACTAGGGACGGACAGACGGGCATGACGAAACTATAGGGGTTCCTTGTCAGGACTGACTATGGAACCCTAAAAGGCTTAAAACCACTGGAAACCCAAAAAATTGTACTGTCGTTATTTCTAATTACTATAACACCAGTGAGTATTACTCTACTCATTGGCAAAGTCCACAATTGTAAATCCTCCCAATAACAAGATGGTGGGTGATGATCAATTTTGTGCATCCACAAGGATAACATTAACCTGCGTAGATTGCCTTTTAACTCGTAACTCCTTTAAGTTAACGACTTTTAAGAGAATAACGACTGTTGAAGGCAGTTATGGTGCGGCTGAAGTGCGCCGGGGGCACAGTTCAAGTGTCATTGTTTGATGTCTTTTGAAGTTGCCAAACCTTGCCTGGATATCAGTCCTGTGTGAGTCTCGTGAGTTGCCGAGAGGTAACTTTTGACAGGCGGCATCGTTTCTGTTCCTGTCGAAATTAACGAAAGGATTTGATGTGCACAGTTAATATCATATTTCATGGTATGTTTTTTAGTTTTACTCTAGTAAAAATTCTTGATACTTGATCCCGGTTAAGTTGGTTTAGGTTGGATATAAACCGGTGACTTTCAATATCCGTTCGAATGCACTGACCGCTGTGCTACCAAGGACCTAATGAACGAATATTTTCTAGTATATCTTATAACAATTAGCTTGGACGAATAAACACTCAAACCACCAATATATTATGCTGCATGGCATCGCTACTTTTTCACTTTGTAAATTTAAATACTATGACAAGTATCGAAATTCGAACATTTATTAAATAGCAATGATGTTTTTAATCAATTTTATTCTGACATTGAAATCTTCTTTTTATCGTGAATTCGTGATGCTAGCAGGATGATCACACTAATATTATAAAGGCGAAAGTTTGTGAGTATGTGAATGTGTATGTTTGTTACTTCTTCACGTCTTAACGGCTGGAGCAATTTTAATCAAATTTGGTATGGAGTTAGCTGACAACCTAGATTCACACATAAGCTACTTTTATCCCTAAAAAATGTAAGGTTCCAGAGAGATTTTCAAAAAACTAAGTTAACGCAGACGAAGTCGTGGGCTACCTCTAGTGTGAAATAAAAAAAAACAGGTAACGTATTCAATATAACCAAATACACCTGCTTAGTAAGAAAAAAGTCGCCCATTCTATGGATAGTTTTTTTTTAACTAGATGTGATTTAGATAGTTTTTTATTTCATATTATATGTCATACTGCAATTTATACATCAGGATTATGATATTAATCAGTCTGGAGCAACGTTCTCGATTTTTGAGCGATACTACTGTCTCACACTGTGATGATATTCGCCTTTGAGGTTGTTACAAAGAAACATTATAACATATTCTCCTCCTGGGGCTTGACTAGGGTTGCCAGATGGTCGGGAATCGTCAGGCTTCTCCCGACATATCATGTGAATTCCAGACTCCCGACAAGTAACGAAATATCCCGACAAACGAACATGACGATACACTTACTTCTCTAAAAATTGTACACAAGAAGTGGGGGTCATGAAGTGTCCTTTCGAGCGAGGGGGACTTCTCCCGAAAAAAATCCCAAAATCCCGACATATTCAACATTATCCAGATATTATGACCTCTCTATCTGGCAACCCTAGGCCCGACTGAGAAGTAGGGAAGTAGGGTGGCAACATCTTCCCACTCTCTAAATTAAAATATTATTCATAAGGCAATATTAATCATTAATTATTGCATACGTAAATAATGAATAAATAAATTAAATACATAAATGAACTCCAACAGTACATTCATACCTTTTTGGTAAGTAGTATTACGTTTTCGTCTACATCAGTACTGGAACATAGATACTCGTTTATAACCTCATATACTATACCAGCCAACCAACGATGGTTTTTAATAGCGTTGCAGTCAAATGTTACATTGTAGATATACCTAATATTTGGGTTTAATGTCGTACAATGCAAGATGTTTCCCTTGTTATAAAATTGAAAGATTAATAAACTTAGATCAGCGTTCAACAGTTCGCAGCTTTGTTTTCTTTGTCTCGACATTATTGGAAAACTATGTGAACATGTGAATGGTACCTCTACAAACTACTTACTAAAGTTTTTACATACCTTTCATAATTGTAGTTTTATGTGTCATGTTTTAACATTCTCTTTATTATCTGTTCGATAAAACATTTTATCCAAAAATGTACGAATAAGAGCACTTAGTACCGCCGCGGCGCCGGTGGAGCCGCGGTGTGACGGAAATCCGCAACTAATTAAAATTCTACGCGAATGAATAACTGCACTGCGCCGTTGTCGGGTTTTGTACGAAAATTCGCAAATTAATAGGCGCTTTGCTACTCAGGTAGGCGTTGTTTAATGCCACAACTTCCCGATTACACAGTAAATACAACTGCCTTCTATAACGCCACCCCTATTCGTATTCACGCAAATTTTATTTGACAAGTTCGCATAATTGCTAATTTCCTTTTAAACTGTCAAAGATTACGTGAAGTCCATCAAAATCCATTAATTAATTCGGCAAATTAACGAGCCAGTCACTGGATATCGAAAATTTATACCTTTAAAATTGTAAAGTGCGTACCTAATAGGTTTTCCGAGTCTTGAACTTTTGTGAAGTCATCGTAAATTTTATAGACGCAGCAGGGGAATCAGAAAAGCAGCGGGGCGAGTGGTGGCGGGGCGTCGAACTCAGCGACTAGCGGGGGCCAGAATGCGGGTGCGGTCCGAACGAGCGACATCAAACCGGTGGAGTGCAATCTATGCCATCGCAAATTTAAGAACATACCTGCTCTGAATGGTCACATGAGGTTACATGGCGGCTATTTTAAGAAGGTGAGTAAATATTTATACTTTTGTTGTATTTATGTATTATTTTATATATAATTTTTAATATAAATACAGTGTAGTACATCAAGAGTACTATGAGGATATTATCCTTATTACCACAAAAAAGTAGACACGCATTCAACACGATATTAAGAAAGAATGCCATACAAAATTCGCCTAAACAAGGTTTAAAAACACTGTCAAATTTTCTGTTAAGGACGTATAATCTTAAAATTTAAAAGTGTGTAATAGTAAAGCAATTATAGTAAAATTCATACTCCCAGTCCCGACTGTTTGTTCTCACTGGTGATAAATTATTTCATTATTATTTCTCGTTGACCTTACAGGATTCAGATAGTAAGAAATTAGATAAAAAGGAAACAACGGGTCCACCATTACAAACAGCGTCTGTATCAGTACGAGCACTCATAGAAGAGAAAATTATCAGCCGACGTGGAGCTACCGCGACTTCAACACCATCAACTAGTAAGTACTGAATGTGTGCCTGAGTTACATTTCAACATTCATGAAATATCCCACTTTCATTTATTTGGTATTTGTTAAGTTAAGTTGCCAGCTTGTCGCCACTAATTTCTGAAAGTTACCTTACTGTTTATTATCAGTGTAGTCTGCACGAAAAAACCAAGTCCCGCAGAGGAGTCACTCTCTGCCACTCATACCGAAGAGTTTTATTTGTGTAGTACTTATATCAATAATATGTATTTTAGGTACAACTACAGACAGCGTGGTATCTAGAGCGGGTTTTGTAGCACCGGCACCTCCACCATTATCAACGATACGGAGCTCTGCAGCGTCACCCGCATCCCCGGCCACTCCTGCCCAGTTCGCTTCCCCACGGACGCCTGTCCTCGCAGTCACCGCTAACACCAACACCAACCTCGTGCAAAGAGACTCCACCCTTATCGAACTACTAAAAAAAGGAAACACGAAGGTATGCCTCATCCAATCAGTTTTCTCCACAAAAACCTTATGTAACCTTTATATATAATATTGATTTTTCCAGGTTGTTAAGAGGTCAGCCTCGGATCCCGGACAGTCTTCACCGCAACAAGACTTCACTTTCCGGCCCGAACTCTTCGGAGTTTCCTTTAATTCGGACGATGGCTACTTCTCGCCGGCTCTCAACGAGGATGCGTTCCAATTCGCTACAACGCCGGAGCAACTGCAAGAACTAGCGTCTTTAGAAGATTACGCGACGGTGGCGGCCTCTATTAGAGAAAGATCGCCAGTGCCATTCCCTTCGAGTAGACGATTAGCAGCTGTATTGAATTCACCACTGCCTGAATCATTAGCAGATTTTGGGGCATGCCATGGAGGAAGTCCTGTGCATTCACCTGGGATTGGCTATACGGCTAATTCTCCTGGTTTATCGTACTCAACGGGAGATTCTCCAGGTCTGGCGTATACCGCTGCGTCACCTGGCGGCAGTTACTCGACACAACCTGAGCCATCACCAGGCCTGGCATATCCGACGCCACCTGCCTCCCACGATGCCCACTCACCAGCCCATACATTACCAAGAGCATCGTCACCGCTATCAGCTGCATTCTTCACAGCTACCATGTCTAGTCAAGAAGAGGTAATAAAAATACCATAATTTTAATTGGTATTTCTTAATATAACTTTTTTACATGCATAGGTTCATATCATAATTTGCAATAAGATGCAAAGCTGTATAGATGAAATTACTTTATCAATTACTAGCGGCTATGTAGAGTAGTGGTTATGACAAGTTGCTCAGTCATATCGTATAAAGATATCTCCGATACTGCCTACCTCCGATAATACATAAAGTAAACCACATGTCTCATTCTGGATTTCTTCAGTCCAGTCCAGCATGCGCGATAACTATCTTTTAAAATAGTATTTCTGATACATTTTTATTACTTTCAGGTTGAAGAAGCTTTAGAAGAGGTGTTGCCAGAGGAATGCAGATCGTTAGACGCTTACACGTTGGAGCCATCTCCGACGCCGCGGCGCATAATGCTGAACTCGGAGGACCCACTACTATCAAGCAGTCCGCGCGACTTCTCACACCAGCGACCACTGAGGCGGCACCACCGAACCTCCACCGTATCTTCCATGGACCAGTGGCAACATGACACCACACTCCAAGTAATTTATGAAAAATAAAAATATTGCTATCATGTAATCCTAGAATGCAGCTTTAAAATGCGTGAGAAACCTGTAAACGTAAAGTCAATGTGTGCGAGACAGAAATGCCGCCTCGTTCTGAGCCGACTCTCTGACAGGGCGCGGCGCGGCGCGGTTTCCATAGGTGTGTGGAGGTGCTCAAATGGTCGACCGTTTGAGCATCTATATGTGCTACGGTACACCCTACCTACGTAGGTAGGTATAGGTAGGTGGAGTGTATCGTGTATGTACGACAACCCTGCATCACACATACTTGCAACCTCTCAGAGTCAATCATAAGTATTCTAAAAATTTTGAGGTAGATCGCCAGCAGTTCAAGTTTGAGCACCCCTTCCGTATGCATTATCTACCAGTCAACCATAGAGTATTGTGGAGAAACTAGTGGTAGGATGCACAGCTGAGGTGGAAATCGATGTAGAGGGTCGCGACATTGTGCCGGTGGTATTTTAATTACCCACACACGTTATTCCAATCTTTGTTAACAGTTGAATTGCTTTCCATAGGTATGTGTGGAAGGCCGCGACACTGTGCCAGCTGTGTTTCTGAGTCCGAGCAGCGTGCCAGCATCGCCGCAGCGGCGCAAGCGGCGCGCCTCGCCGGCCGGCCCGTACCGGTCACGCATGCGCCGGATGGGCTCGCATTACGTGCCCCAACCTATACTACCACCTGATAGAGAAGGCTCGGGACTACTCACAGAATTATCAGGTATAAACTACAGACTACAACTTCACTATCATAATCATGTTCCCGCTGCTGGGAGAACAAGTCTTCCACGCGAACGCAGTGCGTATTGGTGAGCGTTAACGAATGCAGATGCAGCCAAGATGTTGGTTCTGGGGAAGCCGTTAGACTTAACTTGCCTTCCTGTCTGATTCAAGAGTTCATTATGATTTTCAAACAAAATATGTTTGAAAGGTTTAGTTGGCAACATTTTATTTGTGCAGAAGTTAGTCCAGCGATTTCATTTTGACTTGTTTAGCTAATTCACCATTTAAGAAACCAAATAAAATACGACGACAAACGTATTAGATTTTATTATTTCTAATTCGAATTACGGAATAATAATAAATAAAAATATCCAACACTCACAACAATTAGCCCAGCCCCAAAGTAAGCACTCTAGGCTTATGTTATGGGTTGCTAGGGGTAACGGAAAGAATACATATGCTGGCTGATGCATATATAAGTATATTTATATAGAAATACATAATAAACATCCATGACTGGAGTACAAATGCTCATATTAATCACACAAACATCAACAATAGAACACAAAGTATGTTTTAAAGTCAAGACTTTTAATTTATCAGCAGAAAACGACCTCCTCTCGCAAATGGAAGAGCCCCGGAAGCCCCAGATCAACGTGGGCAGAGACCATCAAGCCGATATCCCGGAGCTGTGCAGCGACCGGGCAGACTTACACCGAGCGCACGAACAACTACTATGGGACCCCGGCATCAACGACTGTCTTGACGACAACGAAGGTAACATGTGATGCTGCCTTGTATTTTATAAAGGACTGGCAGACAGACTCTGCAACGTAGGTAATGTTGAGTATCAGGGAGAATCGAGGTTCGAAAACAGCGACAGGACAGTGCACGAACTATTACAGTGGCACCCCGGCAACAACGGCGTTCTCGACGATAACGAAGGTAACTTGTGTTATTTTCCTATAATAGTAGACAGATCTTTTCTTTCTGGTTCTCCCCGAAAAACTGGGATTTTAAAATGAAGGTTTTCAGGAATGGCGGGCACTACAATATACACTGAACTGAATGACATTTTCATGTGTCAAATCGCAAATCCAATTTGAATGCTCGTATATCATGTTCCACTAATATGACCGAATAAATCGTTTCCTAACCCCCCCCCCCCCCCGCTCTTCTTGTTACTTTCAGGTGGAAAATAAGAGGCCCTGCGGCCGTGAGTGCCACGATTACGAAGAAACTCCCATAATCAAGCTAATTACTATAATGTTACTGACCATAAAGATTTAAAACGAAATATTTTTCTTTCGTCCAGTGCGCATGTTCATGGAGCTGGCGATGTGCGCGGCGATGCCTGTGGGTGGGCACACGCGCGAGTTCGCGCTGCAGACGCTCGGAGAGTGCGGCGGTGACGTGCGCGCCGCCACGCTGCGGCTCATGTCGCGCCCATCCGCGCCCGAGCCGCACGAGCCGCGCTGGACGCCCGACGAGGTGGAGGCCTTCCTCGCCGGCCTGGGACACTACGACAAGGACTTCTACAGGATTGCGCAGCTGGTGAGACCTGTTCCCATTGAGACAAACATATAGGTCACCATATCTATGTCGCGCCCGCGCTGCACAAGCCGCGCTGGACGCCCGACGAGGTGGAGGCCTTCCTCGCCGGCCTGGGACACTACGACAAGGACTTCTACAGGATCGCGCAGCTGGTGAGACCTGTTCCCATTGAGACAAACATATAGGTCACCATATCTATGTCGCGCCCGCGCTGCACGAGCCGCGCTGGACGCCCGACGAGGTGGAGGCCTTCCTCGCCGGCCTGGGACACTACGACAAGGACTTCTACAGGATCGCGCAGCTGGTGAGACCTGTTCCCATTGAGACAAACGTATAGGTCACTATATCTATGCCGCGCCCGCGCCGCAAAAGCCACGCTAGACGCCCGACGAGGTGGAGGCCTTCCTCGCCGGCCTGGGACACTACGACAAGGACTTCTATAGGATCACCCAGCTGGTGAGACCTGTTCCCATTGAGACAAACATATCGGTCACTATATATATGTCGCGCCCGCGCCGCACGAGCCGCGCTGGACGCCCGACGAGATGGAGGCCTTCCTCGCCGGCCTGGGACACTACGACAAGGATTTCTGCAGGATAGCGCAACTGATTAGCCGTTCATCATCATCAGCCTATAAATGTCCCCACTCCTGGGGCACAGGCCCACCACGCGAAGGTTCTAACGACTTCAGACGGAATTGGGACCATCGGCTTAAGCAAATTTAAGTCGTGAGTTGGCGCTGCAGATGCTGGGCGAGCTAGTCTCAACTACTACGTCAAGAAATTCTACAGGATTGCGCAAACAAACACATAAGTCATGAAATCCCTGATCTTATCTTGAGTCCTATTAGAGCTATTTACCAGGCAGACATACATAGGTTCACGATATCTTACAATGGGATTATCAGATCATCATAGAGAGAGTGCAGTAATTCAGTTTTAAAATACAAAATCTTATAATCATATCGTTGAGCTTTCACAATAATGTTACATTTGGTGTTAGTTGATTGATTTAAAACTGCACAACAATTCCCAATTACGAACAATAAATACTTATAACTTGAGTTTCATAGCATACAAGAATTGTGGTGCAGTAGAAATGTTATCCAGAGTGTATTGCACAAGCTTTCTTAGCTATGGATTTTTAATACCACAAATTCCATACCTTGCAACCACACAATAACAAAATAGGGCTTCTCTTAATTTCAGGTAAGAACAAAAGACTCGAAGCAGTGCATACAGTTCTACTACTTCTGGAAGAAGGTGACCAAAGACTACAAGACGCTGTACCTCAGGAGCTGGAACGCAGAGCCGGCGCCGTCACAAGTAAGCACCGCCAATGGGTTTCAGCACTTTGTCTTCAAACTAGAGGAGTGATCCGGTGATTCTAAAGAGCGCTTTCCATCCAGGGATCGGTAGGCCAGAACCTTCAGCCGGCTATAGTCGCGTCGTCGTCGCCGACTTTCGAAGGCGAGGAGTTCCCATGCAAGATCTGCGGGAAGTAAGTGCGCGCGCGCATACCGCTTCCGTGCAAGAAAAGCGCAAACGCAATTTACGTGCAACTCTACACCACTGCCATTATTCTTGCCCTAGATTGCTCAGGTTTAAATAATTGAACATTACTATATGTACGCTAGACGTTATATCGTTTTGTTTTCACTCCATCTTTTCGAGGAAAAGTTGTCTTAGCTGCGATTTTTCTGACAATTTGCGTAAATTCACGATTTTTAATACAAAAGAGCCCTATATTATTCAGTTTACCAAGTGGTGACTATTTAGCGCTTGTAAATCTATAAAATAGACACATAAGAATCGTTAAGAAATTATTACGAAAAAGTTTTTATAAAGAATGAGAGTTAACAGTATTTTGAAACCGGCCAATCTTGCAATCTCTATAGGTTAGGTTTCACCTAAACTGCCTTTTGTGCATGCTTTATAAGGGAATGTAGGTACATAGCACAGCTTAGTATGTTTCTGTACGTGAAACGAAACGAAATAAGTGCATACGTTAGGGTTAAAATATGATAGGTACCGCAGTATTCCGGTCGACGTATAACTCACGTGTTATTAAATAACAATATGCGTAACATTGCGTTAATTATGTACTTGGGTTAATTAATAAATATTAAGGTAGACTTTCACTCTCACGATAGGACTGTGTTATTGTGTTATACTTGTAAAAAATATTTTGAATAAATGCACTTCGATCATTCTTTTACTCTATTCTAGGAAATTAAAATTCACGGTTGCTTCATCCAGGAAAAGATTTAATTATTAAGTATTATGAGGTGTACAGATTACTGTAGTGTGTGTGTAGTAAATATATATCCATATATACACACATTTATCCCTTCCCCATATATTATAATTAAGGCTCTTTATTATGGCATTACGTGAGCAAGCTTATTATGGGGAAGATATGAGTACTAGGTATATAAGTACTTACTACACACTAGGTACTTACATTACTTTTAATATCCGAATTTCCAAGGTGATGTAACTTTAGTGTTGTTACCTAAAAAATACAAATAACAACTGTGATTGGCCACCAAAAATTATAAATGATAACTTCTTAAAACCTAATCTGTTTTCACAAGTATCGCCAGTATAGCATCGAAATAACTCACTTACCAGAAAAATAATACCTAGATCCACAAAATTAATTGCATGCTTCATTAACACACGTGTTGTCTCATTCTTTGTTTTATATCACAAAGAAAGTGACAGCATCAACTTAAGTTGTGTGTACGTACTTATCCTGTGATATGTGCGTACTTACCCTAATTTTACATAGAGCATAGAACAAACGCACTGTAGAAATGACATTTCATATTTTTTTTTTTATAATATGGTAAGGACCCACTGCTGTTAAATTTTGTTAGTTAAATACAGATAGTGAAGTCGTCGAATCATGCCGAGTCATATATCGCGAGCGAATGACTAAAAACTAAAATCTCTCGAAAGTCTGCCTTTAGCAAAATATTTCCCGCAAGTGTTCAATGAAGTGACGTTTACCGGAGTGCTGCACTCGTTCAGTGTTGTTCGATGTTGATTGCGTGTCAGTTAATGTTTGTGTAACTTTTAATAAGTACATGTTTATTGATTACTCTGTGCTACTGCGACGTAGGAACATAAACTTACCTACCTAACATTAAATTGCGTTTCAACAGAGAAAGTTATTTTCTGGTTCTATTAATTGTAATATATACTTATTGTCAAACTTGTGTAGATTAGTTAACAGATTAAATTTGTGAATAGGTATATATAAGTATGTTAACAGGAATTTAATGAAAATATTGTTGAAAACAAGATACCTATTGATGAGAAAAAGCCTAAGTTGCATCTCTATAAGGATTACGCCGCGGTCTTGGTTATATAAGTAAATTATTTAACATCGATCTATGTAAATATATAAATGTAACGTATTTTTATGGAGATTAGACAGTAAATTTATGTCCTTAAGGGTTCTTATACAATACTTGTTTTGACATTTTAAGATTAACAACATGTCAACAGATTTTTTCTTAAATAAGCTACTAACGCTTCGAGCTTCGCTTAAGCGGTTTTATGCTTCTTTGGTTGTGTTTTTTTTTGTTTTTTTCTTTTATATTTTTTTAAGTTGCCATGTTTTAATTTTGTACCCTGTTGTGTTTCAGAGTATTTAACAAAGTTAAAAGTCGTAGCGCACACATGAAGTCGCACCGGCCACTGGACGCCGACCCGAAAAGGGCCAAGCTCGAAAAGCCTTATGAAAAGGTCGATAGGGACGATCGGCCACCCGCGCAGTTACAATCACGCACATAATAACCAACCACGTATCTAAGTTTCTAACAATAAAATTTATAAGTCTCACCTAGATCTTTATAATAAAGCAGCTTGTTCACTTACGCATTTCCATTTATTACACTCAGCTGATTTCGTTATGAATCGACTCGAAAAGTGTCTTTAAATTACAAAGGACAAAGAAGATATAGGTTAACAGCATCGTTTTACAATTATCATTTTAATTATGTATAAGTAAATGTTACTCAAAAACGAATAACGCGTGAACTTTTTGTATCATTTAAAGTCACAGTGGGGAATTGATATCGTAACTTCAACACCTGCCACAGTAGGTCATTCTCTTATAAATTTGACGTTTGAAAGATACTCACGAATTTCAATCACCATGCTAAGTCGGGTCTCCTGCGTTTTTTGTTATATCTGTGGATTTTGTCCTGGATATTATTTTCATTTGTAATATTTTTTGGTTGAAGTTTGCATGTATATTTTTGGATTGACAATTTGAAAGGCATCGTGTTCAAGTAGGGCAGTGAATTACCCCATCAGGTAGTATGCGCGACCGCGATCACGACTGGCACACTCGGACTAAAACCCAAAACCCAATGCTAAAATTTAAGCATTTACTACTGTATAAATTAAAATTACATTGGACAAGCGGCGTAGTGTCTAGCAGCTAGATGATTAGCTTTCGGATAAACAGATCTTACATACATAAGTAAAAAGAATATAATTATATTATAAAATAATTATAATATAAAAATAAATTATTTCCTAATTTTCGTAATGCTAAGCTTCAAGAGAGCGCATAAAAATATTTTGTATAACGATGATTGATACTTACGTAATAGGTAGGTCTTCGTAAAGTTTTTATATGTATAACAGACTTCTTAATGTGACTTGCAAGTGTGATGTTGTACCTATATGTATAGGTAATTAACGTAGTTCGTTGTCGAAACGCAGATATCTATAAGCCCGCCCAAAATGATGGCTTATATAGTATTCGTTTTATTAGGAAAAACAAGGCATGGAAGCGACTAATTTATATTTAAACTGTTTTTTAATGTTCCATTTCAAACTAATCCCTAATTTTTTTTTACTCTTACCCATAATTCATTCTAAGAATACCCATTTTACTTTCTTAGTTAAACCATTTATTATTTGTTTGAATTTTTCAATTAAGTTATTCATAACTTGTGATTTGTTATTCCAATGAAAATTCTGTTATTCTTTAGTTACTTAATTCCTTATTCAGTGATTCAATAGCCTCTTTTAAGTCGCAATTTGTTCGGGCGTATCTCGCGGTGAATAGTAAATTGTATTCGATGTGTTAGTTATTAACCAAAAACATACATAGAAAAAAGTTTGCAATCACTTGTTAAAGCGGGTAGTAATGTAAATATAATTGGAACTTTTTTTAAAACAGAATAAGTAAGACATCGTGGTTTGTAGTCATATTTTTATCTTAAAATATAAGTTCTAACGTTTTTAATCACAACTTATGGACATTTAGCTAATTAATATGTACCTACATAAATAAATGAATGATTTGCCCTTAAACTTTAAAGAACTTAGATAAAATTTTGAAATTTACTGATTGCAAACTATTTTGGTGTATGTACGTATGAACACGTGAGATGATAGGTACCTTAATCGTGTAGTTACTACACTACCTCGTTTTTGTTATTTATTTATTGCGAGCAGAGCTCAACATTACTTACTTGTGTACATTTTTGCTTGTTTGCTCATTGTTATTTGTAGTTACCCTAATGTCTGATGATTTATTACGTTTTCTAGTCGCATTAGACAATTTAAGCGCACTCAAAGCTCGTCGTTAGATTAAGTTTTATTGAAAATCTGATCTACTAGTCACATATCGATGTTGATTGTTTGTCTTTGATGAAATTTGTTACCTAATTATCACCAGAAATTACGCGTACTTACCACTGTGAATCGCCTAAAATAATCATACTTACTTTCTTATGATAAACTGCAGACTTTTTACAATCTGACAAAAGCAATAAATCTAAAGTAAAGTGTATATCACTTACTTAATCTAATAAAACTGTCGTTTTTCTTATGTACCTATTCTATGAACCATTTGTTTGAAACCAAAAATATTCACAGTGACGAGTAAACAATTAAATGGAGGGATGATATTTTTTTACATAATATTGAAGTGCTCAAATATTCTATATTTTATGTTGGTAATATTATTGTCTAGTTCCTTGTTGATTGTTCTGAATATGCTATAATTTGATACCTGAAATGTAGTTAATTTTTAAATGTATGTACATTTTTTTCTAATAAATTGGAAATTAATGTATTGACGTGTACCTACGTGTTGTGATAAATGTATGGTTTATTCTGTCTGTAGTTTTAATGGAAACACTTACAAATCGGGCATAGTTTTTTGCTCAAATGTATCTATCTATAGGGGAACTTATCTAAGAATTGCCTGTAGAACCTCTTGCCTCCTAACTTTATTGTTATATACTTACCTACAACTTTTTCCACACTGCTTTTAGTCAAACAGACAGATAAAGATGCAGTACCCATTTAATAATACATATAGTTTGGAGGCGACAGGTTAACTGCTGCCAAAAATTAAAAATTGCATCTCTCACTCAAGTATCGAGATTTCGTGGTTGTGATGTTTATTAATTGACTCATTTGTGGTCTTCCGAAGTAAAACATTATTATTTTAATTTTTGAGCAGTATTCCTTAAAAAAGACATGTTAATAATTAAATGTTTATCTTTAACTTTTAACGTTATAGACTATCCGTCTTCACATAAACATTGGTATATAACAATTATGGCGTTCGACGCTACCAGTATTATAAGGTGTCTGGAACCGAGGATTCAAGCAAAGGAATTATAATTAATTTTAATGCCCCCACTTACTGACTTTAGACTGAAATTACAAATACATACAGACACAGGCACAAAGTAATAATATTATATCAAAATTATACCTATGATTGGAAAAAAACAGCATAAAACAGAATAAATCCTGTTCAATTGTCTGGACTGCAACTTAGTAAAAAGGGGCATTGAAAGCATTAATAGGTACTTGATAAAATTTAATAATAAAAGAGAATGTGTATTTATTTTATTCATCTCAATTAAAATATCAAGATTCGTTTTCCTGCCATGAGTACCTGAACTGACTTCGGCCAAAGTACGACACTGCACCAGCGCTCGCACCTGGCGCTGCTGTACTAACTAGTTTATACGTAAGACTAAGTTAAAAACTTAAATTATGCTAATATACATCACTAACTTGTGTGATTATTTGGTTGTGTTCTATCTTAACATTGTAGAAAAAATTTCTAACTCTAATAAGTATACTTATTCATTTCTAACTCGATGCCAAATGTTTGCCAAAACTAGGGTTTCTATTGTAAACGATTAACACTATAATGTAATTAGATAAAACAATAAGAGGTGAGCCTCATTAGGACAATTTAGTAAAAAAAGCATTGTTTTAGGCTTAACACGAGGCTTCGATTCGGAACCCCATAAAGTACTACACGGTAGGAACGTGCCATGATTTATTTTTAATAGTTTGTATGAATGGCACTTCTAACGCAGACTAGCTCTATGGATTGTAGATGGCTTTTAATATTACTAATACAATATTAATTTGCCAACAAGCAGAGCATACAAACTTATTTTCTTAAAAAATTAAATCATATTTCTTATTATAGCTCAACTATGTATTATGTAAATATTGAATAATTATATTTTCAAATTAACTTTATTACATATTACTGGAGATAGTTCTATTCTATTTCATAAATTTACGATTGATTAAAGACAAGTCCCTCCAGAGACATAATTTTTAACAAATACTCTTAGCTATTAAGACTGAAGGTAGTCCCTGAATTTTTTAAACACTGATTTCGCAATGCCGCTGTCTTTTTAATTTATTTGTGACTTCTTAATGTTGTTGTATATATATTAAGTATGGTGTGACTAACCCATTCCCCGTGCCAAACCGTCATACTAGTCAGGGTATAGATTTATATGTTATACCCCAATAATTTAACAGCATAGTAGTAGAAATTCAATGTTTAGAAACGCGTCATAGGTATATAAAAAAGTAGGGTATCCTCTGTATTGTTATTAAATTTATGCGCAAAAATGATAAATACTTATATAAATCTAAGAAAATAAGGTCGCCGATAAAATAACCATCTTGTTTCAACTTAAATATAGAAGTGCCTTACGATTTGATTTTTTCAATGTTTTATTTTTAATTTCGTTAATTTGTAAATTATTTATTAATTACTATCATCGTGGGCCATCGGTCCATGCTATCCATAAAGCACTGGAAATTGCATTTATTTCGTGTCCACTGGTAAATCTGCCAGTTCAGATTTTTCCGAATAGTGGATCTAACTCTTATTATCTAAGACAATTTTGTTTCGTGTTGTATATTTTAGTAAATAACAGGCAGTAAATAGAAGAAAAAAGCAAAAATTTAAACAAGCCTGGACCGTTGTTTATCTATGTATCGAGGATGTAAAAGATTATTTTTAACAAAAACGAGTCAATTGTATGAAAGATTAAAAATAATAAATATGTACTTAATACCATTAAAAAGGATCGAACAGAAGGATACAGCGATTATATTGAAGTAAATTTAATGGATGTTGTTAGGTAACCACACGTTGCGTTCGCTTAGACCTCGACCTTTACCCCCTCATCCCACGGCACATAGATTAAGTGTAAACTACGTAAATCTGTATCTGTGTCAACATGTAATGAGAATGTGAAATGTTACTATAGTATTAATATTTTGTAAGTCTAAATGGATATTATATTCTTCTAATTTTGTATCGAATAAAGAGTGTGTCGGCGAGAGCCCCTTCACTTGGTGTACTCGTACTTATACCTACTTGTAAAATACTGTAGCCGGTAAAACTCGTGCCGAGCGCACGATATTGATATTACACTCTGTGTTGTGATTTTGAACGTTCTGTACATTACAAGTCTTTGAAAATAATACTATGGAGAAAAAAAGTATTGTAGACTCCTTTTTAGATTAGCACAAATTCTTCGCGTAGACACGTTAGGTCGTCAAAAAACTAAGCATGTAGAGACAATGAAATAGGTTATCATTGGAAGATGTATGTATTGCGTATGATAGATTCATTGTTATATTCGATCAATGTGATGATTCGTAAGAACAACGAGTAGCCCTGTCCTCCGCCAGGTGGCTCTTCATAACTTCGCATATCCTTGAAACAATAAGTAATAAAGTAAATAAAACTCTATTATATATATATTGATAAATTTATTAGGGTAACTAATTTTTTAAGACAATGACTATTACGTGATCTTTTAGATTGTCTTTATTAATAAATATATGGTGAAGGTTTTGTCAATTTGTTTTTATTTTCATCCTTGTTGTTCCCGCTCCTATTTAAAGGAAAACTACTAAGGAGCTATTCATTTATTACGTAAGGCGATTTAGGGGGAGAGGGGGGTTGACCATGTCTTATTTTTTCTTACAAGGGGGTGGCAGAGTGTCTTAATAATTCTTACGTAAGATCACAAAAATGCAGAAAGGAAAGATTATAAGTACTTTGAAAAAGTAGTACTACTACCAAAATAATAAAAATAACAAGCACCTTTGTAGGTATACAAATAAATAATACTTAAAAATTGGTACTTTGAAAATAAACATTACAATATATCAAACGTGTAGGTATTCATTTATTCCTTAAGATTCTTACGTAATAATTATGTAAATGGGGGGTGGCTGTTGGACTATTCTTAGATTTTCTTTCGTAGGGGGGGGAGAAAGTGAAAAACTAGCGTAAATAGTCTTACGTAATAAACGAATGGCCCCTTAGGTTCACTTCACATCGACAAACTAAGCTACTCGGCGTGCACTTTTGATGGTAGCTGCAACTACTTAGGTACGATTGTAAGGGACTGAAAATAATCGACGCTTTATGATATATAATGCCCTTCCCTATGGATAGAATAGGGAGATTGGGCCACCACATTGTGGTGGGTACCACGCGGGCGCAGTGCGGATTGGCGGGTGCTAACAACTGCAGATGCAGCCGAAACCAACGCCTTAACGTGCCTTCCGAAGAACGGAAGCGTATATGTAAACAATTTCCCTTTTTCGAAAACCAAAGTTCACTACTAAAAATTGTTACTTTGAAAAACAAACATGAAAACAATACATTTTTCAACAATAAATCTTTAAATTATGATTATGAATATTATTTGCTGGGGACTGTTTGCAGTTGACGCAATCTAAATTTATCTTCCACTCTCAGTTCAGTATGTAGACTAATCGTGAATAAATCTTAGGTAATCAACTGAATTAATAAAAATCATGAATTATGTACTAACGTATCGAGGAAACCAAATGAAACAATTATATCGTCTTCGTCCGTTTATTAAGAACATTGTAGACTACAATGAAATCTTACTTACAGATCGATAAAACTCTTGTTACAATTACGAAAACAAATATTGTAGGGCAACAATAAAATTAAATACGCAACATTTCAACACGCACCGGACCGTGTACATTTAGTAAGTATATTGAGAAGAGAAAAAAAAGCGCAAAACCTTGCACCTCTATTCAATTGTAGCCTGCAAGTGCAAATGTTTTAATTTTGTATTTGTAACCAAACATCGCCTAGAGTACTTAAAAGTATTAAATCACAGCACTCTGACCTCAAGGCGACGTCTCAACATCACGTGAAAGCTGCGTTGTACAGACAAAAACCGAATTATCTTATATGAAATACAGTAAATATGCTTACAAAATGACCTCATATTTATTACAACTCTACGAAACATATCAAATGTATATATATTTAACACTTTGGTAGCTACAATTTAATACATACAACAATTAGTCACAAAAATATTATTGCATTCTTCAACGATTGCCCATAATCCTGTCACACTGGGAACTCGGTGCTACAAATCAAATACTTATTATAAGTACAGAAAAATGAACGCATGCATCACTCAACCGTGCCCCGCACACAAACCAATGATTAAAATAAATATATTATCTTTCCTCGAATGACAAATAATCGTAAACATACCTATTACAACACGTTCGCTTCGAGTTGGCCACTCCCGCCCTCCCTGGCTCACCGAACAGCGCTCCTAGAGAGACCCTATGAGCCGACCCCATTGGTCAACGGTACCAGTTGATGTACCTGTGATTGGCCTGTGACTTCATTTTGTAACGATCATCGAGAGCCAACTCGCAGCGAACGGGTAGTACACTTATAATAATAATAATAGTTTTTTATCATACAATGGACGTAGCAATTATTACAAATATTATTATTATACTCTCTCCGAACAACATTGAAACATTATCCAACATAAGGTTTTATTTTTTATTACTTTGATATGAATTCGCGTGAAGATAGCGAGTTAAACTGGGCGTACATTAAAGTTTGTTATACGAATTCTTGTTACGTGTATAGAAAATAATGTTTTTATTGCGCGTTGACTCATCCTCACTAAGACATAAGCTGCGATTGCTATCTCATGGGCATATGGACGACTAAAACCGACACATATCGACAAACGTTGAATTTAATACTAGTGAATGTTAAATTCCCATATTCCTATTATAATAGATTTTAGCTTATGTAGAAATCTTGCTTTTTATCAGGCCTTTGGAACAATAAAATTTTCTGATTTCCACTCTCATCTTCAGATAATCATCGTAAGTTATACCAAAAGTCCGCCACATTATTGACTTTAGTTAAGATGAGCCTTATTAATAACACATATGACTTTTATAGTATAAAAGAACTAATTTTAATTAAGAAGTAGATATTTATTTATATTTTTTCTTTACATTTTATCAGTACCTTTTTTGAGCAGGGACATTGCTACCTATCGACTGTGTTTACAAGCAAACCGATCAGTTAACTGAAATGAGACAACGTTAGCTGCAGTCTATTTTCATTTCACTCTGAACATCGATTATATTATTGGCAGACATTTGTATCGCACTCAGGAGCTAATGGGTCCCTGGCTGAAATTTGGTTATATAGAATCTTTAGAATAAAATATTAGGCCATTGTTCATAAGAGCAATGAAATATAGAAGTAAGCGCGTTTTTTATTACGTCAGTTTGTGAGATTGATATTACAAATGTAAGGTATGACTAACATCACGCAACCAGTGCAAAATGCTCAAAGTATATTTTATGGTGATAAAAAACTTTACCTAATGGACTAAATACATATTGGTGTCAGTCGTTCATCAGAAAATTGCAATTACATCAGTGGTAAGAATGCAATACGTACACAACCCAAGAAACTATCCACTTAATGTTATATTATTTGCTAAACAAATACATATTATTTCGATTTAAAACTTTCTTTTTAGAATAATCACATTATATCATAATTAAATATCAGGTGCTCGATAATTATATCGTTCAGAGCTATAACATTATTTATTTATTTGAATCAAACCATTCTGGGCAAATCTCTTTCTTTGAAAGGAATTATTTTTGTTTTTGGTGTATCATTGACGTTTAAAAACAAGTACACTCCCAATCGCCTAACAAAAGTGTGTCATACGTATACATCAAATTATATAGATACCACTAACGCATTTGTTCAAATTGACACGTTATGTCGTGGCAGTAAGGTTCAATGTCAATTGTATTCGAGAGAGAAAGAGTTTGATTACAGTACGAGATGGACATGCACGATCACGTGACGCGCGCGACGCACACGGTGAGAGATATTTTGTTGTAGCTAATAAAACGTAATTAACTAGCAATACGATAGAAAACGCCAATATAGTTGCGTAGTTTTGTTAGTTTAAAGGGACACTTACCTGAAATGGGCATTTCATGTTTTTTAAAGCGTGGATCTGATGTCATTTGCGCAGTTTTTAAGCGAGCACTTTGTCATTACGTGGTGTTGTAATCAAAGCGTGATCGAAACACGACTGTTTGAAAACTACGCACAATAAATGCGTGTGCGCACTTTTGCTTGCGACACGTTTTGAGCGCCATTGTAAGTTAACTTGGTTTTTTTATGTCAATATGGTATACCAATCAATACTATTGATGATTTCTATTGAGATGTGAAGTTATAGAAATGGAAATGATTCCCTCGAAAGAGGAACAATAATTAGATTGCAGTCTAAACAGTTCAAAAAATATCTATACAACCATAAGGAACCATGTTACCAATAAACAATCAGTATGAATAGTGAATTAAAAGCGACTGTAAAATACAATGTAAAGTAGTGATATTCATATCAAATAAGTTTGCGTCCCAAATTTACAGTTTTCTCTCTTGGAATTAAAGACAACAAAGTTGATGGAAACCTAATAATTATTAGTTTACATTAAGAAACTTATATAGTATTTTTAGACATAGATTTACTAGTAGAGGAACAATTCGACCCAGTATATTAAAATAACAAGTGCTTATAAAATGACAAACGATATTGGTTCTGAACTGCTCATCGGTGAAGAGTTAACATTTACTGTGTATACATCAGTAGTAGAATATTAACGTTATCTGTGTTTGTATTTTTATTTGTCGCAAGTATGCGAACATACTGAATAAAACATATTTAAGAAAACTTCAATTGGCATAGTAAGCAGTCGAAAACAAATATTGCTACAGGATTGAATCGTTTATCATTAGGACCCTGTTCACGTATAGATAACATTAATATTATCGGCGTGCCTAAAGCGAGTTTTGATGGTATTCCAAAACTACGACCTTCTTTATTTCTTTTTCAACAATAGTGTCTGCAAAATAGACAATTTGTCTATGTTTTTGAAATTTTTGTCGTCTGTATTCAACATAAATAATAGATATGAAAGTTACTATTCCAAGTGTTAAAATCAATTATAAAATAAAAAAAGGTTTAACGGGTTACATGCACTGATTTTATTTATTTATTGACGTTTCGCATCCTTTGCTGGAGAGTCGTCGGAATAATGATCAATCTATCAATTATAAAATCCGAAAACTCTATGAAAAAAATTTTAGATCTACCATCATATTTTATTTTTAAGCATTTAACTGTTTAAATCTAAACAAATTTGTTTACTGTTTTGCTGACTCTTTCCCAGTTTTCACACTCTTCCTTCTCTCTGGAAGCACTGCAAATAATGTAAAACAAAATATGACGATCCCAGTTTTCCTTTACTACCAAAACTCACATTAGACATTACGAAAATATATACTAACGTACATTTAAATTTACTTTTATTTATTTCGAAATACTTTAAAAACAATTGGACATTGGTGTTGGTTTGTTTGTACAGATTGAAAAGAAACGTCGTTTAGTTATATTTTTTTTTTCTTGTTACGCCACAAACCCGTTGCAAAATTACCACTGATATGGGGAGGTTACCTTATTAGGCGGGAGTGCGCGTTCATAGGTCGTCACTCTAGTCTTACTTTCTTGCCTTTGACCACCGTCGGCTTGTTCTTGAGCAATCCTTTTCTTCTCTTCGATGTCTGCGAGAAATAACAAAACTAGTTTTATTGTCATTCTTCTGTGCGAAAGGGCTAAGATGTAACGCTTGACAATGTCAAAGGAGGATACCTGTACCCTTAGCACGAACTAATATCGAATTAGAATAGTTTGAGAGTGCGAAATGTCATTGTCAAATTTTGTATGGAAACTTACACTGCAGCGTCATAACAGACGTAACGAGAACTAAAAATCAGTACATGTCATCAGTGACAATGACATTTCGCACACGCAAAATACTCGAATTCGTATAGTTGAATTCGATCTCGATACGCGTCAAATATCAAGAAGTTTTGTATGGATGATTTTTAAGGCTGGAAACAGTGTTCGACCGACGGTACGTCCTGACCGTACGTCTTGACCGGCAACGCTGACAGTCGGTTGCGAAAATGCATTCAGTGCTACGCTGACGGAGAACGGCGACGCGTGTACAGTTCACTATAAAAATGAACTCTTTTGCTGTAATATGTGCACGCTATTTTTTGCGCAATTAATTCTTTACAAACTTCTTGCCAAGCACTTATTTTAGCATCGCGGTCTTCATAAAATAGCCGCACTTCAGTAATAAGGCACTCTGTAGCAATATTCATTTTTGCTTTGAGTGTACGTACGCTCGTATGGTCGGTCGCTCCGTCAGTGAAGCACTGAACGCATCCATACAATCACATAGCTCGTCGGTCGACCGACGTTCGCGTGATCGACGAGTCGGACAGAAGGCTCGACCGACCGTACGCGCGTACCAAATCACGCGCGTACGTACAATACAATACAGCGTAGCTGTGTGCGCATTCATAGACTTGGATAGATTATTCTCGTTGCACACGTCTTTGGTTGTGGCGCGCTCTTCGAATTGATATACACAACATCTTGTCATCTGAAGCGTATCGAGCTCGAATTCAACTGTCCGCATTCGATATTGATTCGTGCTAAGGGTACAGCTCTATCAATTAATATAACATTGCAACTTGTTGAGAAAGTAATCAATCATAACTGGTACAACATATAAAAACACTTTAGTCCCTGACAAAAGTAAGGCTACTTCTAAGTCCTCCGGTTAGCACAACACGGCAAGAATGTTTTATGAGACGAATCAACAATAAATATAAGTTAAGAGTATGAACATAAGATTTAAATTGCAATAAAAAATATCGTAGATACAAAAACATAGCTTTAGACTTGCTTATTATTTTGATTTTTATCATTGCACTTTAAATGGCTAAGTGAGTCCCTATATTATATTGACAACCCATCGCATAAAAATCCCTTGAAAAGCATAAGCCGATCGTTTATAGTTTGACTGAGGAACATTATTGCTCTAATTTGTACATAATTGTAAAGCAAAAATTCGATGTTCACGACAACAAATCGTTGACTGACGTAATGATGAAATTTAAAGGGTAATTTAAATAACTGATTATAAGAACATGCTATATATAAAAAAATCTTCGAAATAATTAAAAAAAATTGTGACCTCATATAAATAATCAAATATGTAAATGGTATTTTTTATACACAACCTCTCTTTTATTCTTAAAATCTAACTAATATTCAAACTTATGTATTTAAAAAAATATAATCATTCCACAATAAGCAAAGTAGACATAACAAAATAACGAAAACATAAATTCGCAAATTACAAAAGCCACATCCAAAATCACAGATTGCACACAACATATGACTTTCAAAACAACACAATCGCAGACATGCAAACATAAGAGAAACCACGCATAACAAAACAACCATGCTCTGACAATAAGTTTACTGTACCACTTGTCCGTTCTCAACAGGTAGCTGTAACAATTTTGATTTGTAAGTCATAGGACATTTTTAAACGGTCTTTTTCTAGTAAAATCTGTATGTGCACTGTGTATCAGAAATAACGCACACCCTGAAAGGATATGGTAACAAATATACAAATGAATCAATTACAGTACAATTTTTTTAAAGCTTTTATTTAACTTGCAACATATGTATGTATGTTTGTTCAGGTGGAATCTTGCAACTAAATTTTGAAGCAGATATCTTCCTTCGATTAAGCTGTTTTTTTTTATGATGTGTAACATCTTTCCTCTCGCTTTCGTGCCATTTGTGGGAGTGATTACGTGAAGTGGGACGGAAGTGTGTAACAGCAATTTTGGGAAGCGCGCGCTATTTGATTTTAGAACATAATGTTCATGGTGTCGCCGACTCGAGAGGTCCTGGATTCGAATCCCGGTGGGGGCAGATATTTGTGTGATGAATACGAGCATTTGTACTCCAGTCATGGATGTTTAATATGTATTTCTTAATAAATATACTTATTTATGTGCTGTACATGTATTCTATCCGTTACCCTAGTATCCCATAACACAAGCCTTACAGTGCTTACTTGGGGCTAGGCTAATTGGTGTGTGTAAAAAAAATGTTATTCCTTTTGTAGTAGGTTTTATTTCTTTTTTTACTAATATAAGGTAAAGTTTCAAATGTTACACATCATACGCAAGTACTGTGAGGCTCGCTCGTTTTTTATTAGATCAGGTTAACCAATAATACCTCAATGTAAGTAAAATTATTTAATGTATTGTTAAATTTCAAAATAGCCCTTACTGCCTTGCATTATGTATCATATTCTTTTGTTTAGTAATTATGAAATTAACGTCAATTATTTCTTTACTTTTTTTTATCGAAATCGATTCAGAAGCCAATTCCAACCAAGCTACTTTCAGGATGTGCGTTTATTCTGTTACAAGTTGTAAACAAGGCAACCCCTACTGACTGATCTAGAAACGCACAGTCCAAACCACTGAACGGATTGTGTTGAAATTTGGCACAGATATAGCTATTATGATGTAGACGTGCGCTAAGAAAGGATTTTCCAAAACTCTAAAGGGGTAAAACGGGGGTACAAATTTTGCATGGGAAAACCAATATTTCCACGCAGACGAAGTGTCAGAAAATAGTGGGTGCACAATTTTCTTAAAAAGTGAAACGTGTTTTGACACAATATATAAACCGTGGCCAATGTCGCTATTTTAGACATCCTGATCGATTGATGATAAGAATGTTCACAATTTCAGAGGTAAAAGCGACGGGTTGAAGACAATCCTACGAATATAATAGTGACAGGATTTGTTTTACGTTAAAAGGGAAGCAAACAAGCATAAGCCTGCCTGATCGTAAGATACCACCAAAGCTGATTAGACGCTTGCAATACAAATAATGACTAGCATTTCTTTTTTTTGATGTGTATCTTTCCTCTCGCTTTCCTGCATTTTGTGGGAGTGATTTCGTGAAATGGGACGGAAGTGTGTAACAGGAAGTCTCGAAAGCGCGCGCTATTTAATTCCTTTTGTAGTAGGTTTTATTTCTTTTTTTACTAATATAAGGTGAGGTTTCAAATGTTACACATCATACGCGACGACTGTAAGGCTCGCTCGTTTTTTTTTGTATTGCAAGCGTCTTATCTGCTATCGTGGATGCTTGTTTGGTACCCTTTTTGTTTTAACACAAAAAAAACCCTTTCACATTTATTATGTGTATCCCTTGTATTTTTTCAATACAAAAAATATCACTCGCGCTGTTGCCTACCCTGATCCAGTCCCCTACCCATTGTATTTTTTCAAGTATGAAATAAAATGTAATTATACTTTATTCGATCGAATCTCTTTTGAATCGTCTATATAGCTACCTACAACCTATATTTAGTGTCCATAGTACAATTATTTCTATAAGTAACATACCTTTTTAGACATCGTACTGGCAGTTGATATTGATCTCTTCGCTAGGGGCAATCGAGGGCGGTTGAACTCATCTGGTTTCTTCACCCTGTCAACATAGAAAAGTATTAAATTACCTTTTCATGGATTCCTCTTTGATTTTTGCGTAGAGATTCCATAGAGCAATTTTTTTATCACTACTATCATGAAGAATTGGTGTAATATAGTCGAGAAACTCATGTCTAGTAATAGTGAGTGAAATTTTTATTGTAGATTTATTTAGACATTTCATTTAGTGCCACATCGTAACAGTGCTTTGAACAAACGAAAGCAGAAGATTGGAAAAAAAAAACTAATATATATAATATACGAATTCGGTATTGTTTGAATTCAGTTTGGAATATAGAAATATATTATAGTTATTACCAAGATCACTATAAGTAACATTGTCACTACTCACTCGCACCTGTTCCCGACACACAATACTCAGTCACAGTATTTTCGCGATCGGATACTGTGAGTATTCTGTGCGGGAACAGTACCCTTAGTACGAGTTTTACAATTACGAAAACTATGATAGTTTTCGTGAGTTCGCACTCGTACTAAGGGTACTAATTTTATTGTTTTCGTTTCAATACAAATAAACAGAGTTTAAATTCTATCATTAAATCATTTGAGGTTTTCTTAAATTTTAAGTATATTTGGTTACTTTTCACCAAAATGGACATAGAAACATAATTTACAATTACAAAAACTATCAAACGCGTACTAAGGGTACAGGTGCGAGTTAGTAGTGAGAATTCGACAAGTAGTAGGGGTATCGAGCGCAATAAGCGGGCATCCATAAATTACGTGAGATGTTTAAGGGGGGGGGGAGGGGGTCGAGTCAAATCTCATCTAATCTTACGTTGGAGAGCAGGGGGGTCTCGGCAAATATCACGCAATTTTTTTTCTGATTCAAACAAAATAGAATTATACTATTTTGGTCCATTTAATCCAGATTGTACACGCTTAAGATTTAATCTTAAGCGTAATCGTAATACGATTAAGATCATTCACGAATTGGTTCGAAAGAAAACTAGTCGTAAATAAAAGCACGAAGCATTTTTTTTTCTTTTTACAATAACAATCCAACGCATTTACGTAAGAAACCCACATTTTGAAAAATCTCACGTGAGATTTTTCAAATTGTTGAATAAAATCTCACGACATCTCACCAGGGGGGGAGGGAGGGACAGAAAATTCAAAAAAACACCTCACGTAATTTATGGACGCCCCCTAAAAGACTTCGTCAAAGGATATGTCTGCCAATAATATCTACCCGCAATTACTTCATCTTGGCGCTTGCGATAGTGCCGAAATATCGGAGACTCACAAAAAGTAAGGTACACGCTAGCAATCCCCCTAATAACTATAATGTTAGTGACCATGAAAATTTTAAACTATTATAGAAACCAATTTTTCTTCATTCTCAGTGGATGGGATTTTTTTGAGTTTTCAAACAAAGGTGTCGATTCCGACAGGATTCTCTAAATATAAACTTAAATTTGACAACAGTGTATCCTTGTCATTCTCTATACAGAATGAAAAGGAGAGACTCACGTTAAATTTAGTTTTAAGTTTAGAGAATCATGCCAGAATCGACACCAATGTATTTTAATTTTTACCTGTATATCCTGACGAGCCAGTGCTCTGTGGTGTAGGCCTCCTCCAGATATGTGAGCTTGAAGCCGCGATTGCCTGGCAACGCGCCCCGGGTGCGGTCGTAGCCTGGCGGACTGCCGCCACTGTCATATCTGACGACAAAATAAACATCATTCAGCATGGTTATTATATTACTAGCGGCCGCCCGCGACTTCGTACGAGTGGAGTTAGTTAGAAATAAAGGTTCACTGCTCGTTCCCCGTAGGTGATAGCGTGATAATATGTAGCCTATATATTGACCCGACTTCTTAATAATATTCGTGCCAAATTTGAAGTAAATCCATGCAGTACTTTTTGAGCTTATCCCGGACATACAAACAGACACACAGACAAAAATTCTAAAAACTATATTTTTGGCTTCGGTATTGATTGTAGATCACAAATTCTCCCCATGTATTCTTTTAAAAAAATATTCAATGTACAGTTTTGACTTTCCTACCATTTTATTATATGTATGGATAACGAGCTGTCCCAGCGAACTTCGTACCGCCATAAAAAAATAGGGGTTGGCGGTAAAAGTACTTCACAAGGTGCAAGGTTGCCCCTCCCCCCTCACCCCTATGCTATTCTGCCGCGCTCCAGTTAATCCACAAATCCTCGCTTGGGCTCGCATACGGTCGTTAGCCCGTAAGACATTCAAGACAAGGAAATCAACCCGAATACTGGCGTACTCGACTCCGTTCATTTACACTTAGTCGTTTAACCGAATGCCATCGGCACTCGTATTCGGGCCAACGACTCGAGTGTAATCGCGCCATTAGTTTAAACTTCTAATTAGCGAACAAAGGTCGGAGCATAATTTTTAAACCGAGACCTTAGCCAAAGTTTCATTTATTTATTTATTAAAATATAACTAACATAACAAAGACAAATTTACAAATGTTGTTGATAATAAACTGACTTTCCAAATGCTGCTGTGTACACGAGAAGTGACCAAAAATTTATTTTGTCAGTCTACTTCGTACTTTGGAGGGCACGTTAAACTGAGTAGTCCCAGAAACATCTGCAGTATATTGTACCCACCAATACTATCTGGCAAAAAAAAAGGATATGTTGACTTACCGATAGTATGATAATTTGTACATCAAACAATTCAACATAGTCTTCGACGCTTCCGAATCTACTCTATACTCTCCTCTCTCCGTGAAGTAGTCTGCTTCCTGTGAACAAAAATGAGTATAAAATTCATGTTGTTAGTTCATATTACTAAATAATATTGTTTCTGTGCTCGTCCTTTTATTAAATCTCTCAAAAATCCATGCTATCTGTTCGCAAATCTTTGACGACCTCCGTGGCCGAGTGGTTTGTACGCCGGGTTTCATGGTGTCGCTTACTCGAGAGGTCCCGGGTTCGAAGCCCCGTAGGGGCAGATGTTTATATGATGAAAAAAAGCATTTGTACTCCAGTTATGGATGTTTAATATGTATTTCTATATAAATATACTTATATATGTACTGTTTATGTATTCTATCCCTTACCCTAGTATCCCATAACACAAGCCTAACAATGCTTACTTTGGGGCTAGGCTAATTGGTGTGAGTTTTGGAAATATTTATTCTTATTTATTTATTATTAAATCTATGGATACTTTGGACTGAGAAAAACCACCGAAAGCAAACAAAGTAATATAGACACCGATTTTTTTTAATCCCTAAAATAATATCGTGCAAAGCTCACATGAATGTCCTTAGGATGTTCTCCCTCCGCGATCCGCACCATCCATATAAACTTGTTGATGTCATCCCCCGAATAACCAATGGCTCCCCCGAATATAACCAAAACGTAGTCCACATCCAACATCGTCATTATCTCGTATGCTGCACTCTCGTTGCTAGCCATAGCTTTGCCGACTAACGCTATGTGAGAGTTGTTCCAAGTATTGTTGTCCACTAGGGTTGTTCGGTTGCCCATTCCCGCTATCTGTTTATTTGGAGAAAACAATAAGGGTACAATCAAATACAATACATAAACAAATCTCTTTATTTTTACACCACAGAAAACATAAAACATGAACTACATAATTAAAGAACACAGTGTAATAATGGGCGGTCTTATCGCTAAAAATGATCTCTTCCAAACAACCTTAGGATGGAGAGGACAAGAAAGAAGCTGGAGAGACGGCGGTGTAATTAACTACACAAAACAACATAAAAATCAATCAAACAAATAACAATAAATGTATATAAACATTAAGAGACATCTCTAAAACTCGTTTTGAACACCTGAATTACTTTTTTAGCATAGGAAGCTACAATTTGGCAGTTTGGCAACAGCGGTATTTGGCCTAGTTCTCAAAATTAAAAAACGAAAATTGACTGATCTTTTCGTTTTGTAAAGAGCATGGTGAGGATAAACTGCTGTCAAATTTCGGAAGTACTCATTAGTTACTTGTTTTTGAGGTAACTATAACTAAAAATCAGTACACATTTGATAATGATATTTCCGACTCGCAAACATTACGAATTAGATTTCAAGGTTTAGGTTCGTGCTAAGGGTAGTGATACATATTGGTTCACGTCACTGGACATGCCTCACAGACGAGAGGCAAATTTGACAGCAGAATCATGCTATTATCAGGCCCATAAACGGAAACAAGAGCCGAGGGAAACTTATTTATAAAAACATTTATTTACCAAGATAACTAAAAGTAAACTAATATATTTAAAGTATTACTACAAATATTAAATGCACTGTTTAAATAATCCATACAAAACTATCTGAAGTAATAAAACGTCACAACACTTTGGACAAGTCTATACTTTGTGGGCATTCTCTTATTAAACCAACATATTTCTACCATTGTATTCTAGGAAATCAAATAGTATGGCATTATAAATTGCATTTTTTTATAACATCGAAGTTATATTGCATTAAATAAAAAAAAATGTAGTTGTGGTATATACGTACTTGGTAGCCATAATCCCACCAGGACATGATTCTTGCATCATCAGCAGTATTTTGTGAGAGCCATCCGTAAGCTTCTCTAAAATCGTCCAAAATACGACGAGATCTGATAAAATATTAATTTATTATAGTAAAGGCATTTTTCTCTCAAAGTACTAGTACAACAAACACACAGATGTACAATTCGTGTTAACAAACAATTATGAAGGGGGTTTTCGGTAAAGTTTAAATTAAATACAATTTAACCTTAACGAAAATCTTTACTAGAAATAATGCTACTCAGTTCAGGTGTCAGGTTGGATTCGAACCAGAGCAAACCGTGCGCATATAAGAACCGTTATGCAAATGAATCCTTAAAGGAGGTGTCAAATTTCTTCTAGTATATATCTGAATGCAAGCCAGAGCTATTTTTTTCATATCAGGCACCTTTTCAACTACATCTTAGCTAAGAAAATGATTGTGCCTAAACGAATAAAATAACTCAAGTCCGAAACTTCTTTTTGATGATTTGTAGTTCTAGTCCTGTTACTTAAAACACAAGACCTAGAAAATCATACTGATATTTATGCTACTTATACAGAGTGGTCCTATTAGTGACGTCAACATATTTTTTTAGATTCCTCGCCCCTGGGGTATCCGAAAGTACCCGATGAATCTTCGGCGATTTTTCTTAGTATTTTTAATGATTTCTGCCAGCGAGGTTTCAAAAATTCATATTTTTTTCGTAATAGGTATTTTGCAGTCTTTTTTTTGTGAAATAATTGTCTTGACTGTTGTTTTAATAAAAAAAATAACTCAGCTTCCTCAAATTACTTAAAGTTACTCAAAAAAGGCTTGAAAGTACAAACTTTAGTATTTAGTAGGATTTACTCAAACATTGAACTTCAGTGTAAAATACAAAATCCTGTATAAAATAAAACAAAAAACTACTCACCCATCGTTTCCGTAGCTGGCTAGCACAATGCTAGGACTAGAATACGCGTTCGACGTGGCCCACGTACAGTGTACAGAAAACAGCATAAGTAAGATCATGAACGCTATTAAAGTGCCCGAGCGCACGTTCATACCGAGACCCGCGTCTGCCGCTGGAGCCGCTTCGTGTGTACGCTTCTTTACTTTACCAGCCTATAGAAAACAAAAAAAAAATCGATTGATCCAACCAAGTTGAGATGACCGGTTTGAACCGGTCCAGCTCAAAGGACCAAATGTATAGAGAAGATAAAATGTACGGAAACCACGTATTTCAAATGAAGATGCACACTTGTAAAACATTAGGTAATAATTAATAGTTATAAGAGCAAGTAAAATTTATTGAATTCCATTTCTATAAAGAAGCAAGTTTGGAGGTGGATGAGAGCAGTTATGAAAAGTATTTTTTTTTTATATTAAATAAATACTTTTAACCAGTGTAACGTCTATACTAATATTATAAAGAGGAAAGATTTGATTGTTTGTTTGTTTGTATTGAATAGGCTCCGAAACTATTGGCCTGATTTGAAAATTTCTTTCACATTTAGAATCCTACATTATCCCTGATGAACGAAGTCTATAGAGTATTTTCAAAAAAGTTAGGGTTCTGTATGAAAACTTAGATAATATAACCCAAGGTGTGAAAAAAATAACCTTATGTCGCGTACACTGCGAAAGTCATAGACAATAGAGTAAATTGATGTACTATAGTTTTAATATGAAGAAAATCATTGTGTATAATACAAACCAGAGAACAACTATAATCAACACTACAGCTCCACACCGAAGCGAAGCGAGGTAGGGCCAATAGTAATATATAATTACGGTCCGCGAGTCAACGAGTTTGAAAGTCAATGACATTATAACCGCTTCGTTGACGCAAAAATGTAAATCTAAAACTAATCGTAGCAAGTGCAGTAGCCCCATAAAATTTATTTCATTTTGCTGGCCTAACAACTGGCTAGTTTCTCCCTTCTTCTTTACCAAACAGCTACTTACCTTATCATACAAGTTTTTGGATTCCTCCGTCTCCACAGAAGGTGCCGGGATCTCATCTTCACGAAGCACCAAGTCTAATAGTATCGAGAATGCAATCCCGGACAATACGCATACAACCGGTGTGAGAGTCAACATTAGACGCACCATCACACCCGCGAAGTATACTGCGCTCAACGCGTATAATGCCACTGGAAGAAAAATATAAATATTGAAAGTTATATAAAACTTTGTTTTTTTGTCTCTTGGAAATTTTGGGCAATGGGTAAGATCCATATTTTTCTAATATTTCAAAATTCTCATGTTACAGTACCATAACAATTATCTTATGATAATTTGAATGTCTATAATACACAAAAAACTAAGCAAGCGCAAAGTCTAGCCAACTGCATGAACTTTATCGCAGTAAAACCTTTTGCAGCAACTTACCGACAGAGCTTAACTTTTCTTTTAACTTATTCGTGAAAATGATATTAGAAAAATTCTTCGCGCTATCGCGATTAGTGTGTGATTGAATATAATTAAATAAAACATTCAGGAGCCTAATCTTCCTATACACAATAAAACATTTGCATTGTTTTAAAATATCCAAAAACTCCTTACCAAACACTCTCTCATCATTGACGTTTTTAATGCAGTACCACAGACCCACCGGGAATGTACACACCAACACATGAAGGTCAAAGAAGAAGGAAGACCATGTCGTCGGTTGATGTTCCGACACTGACGCGATGATAGGAATGTGAATTTTGGCGTACGCTGTATCCCATAGAGAGTAGAATCTGTATTGGAATTCAAAAACGTAAACATATGACAATAAAGAGTGGAAACATAAAAAAGTAAACAATTTAACTTTATTTCAGAGTAAAATCAACGTTAACAGATTTTATTAAACTTCATAGTGTCTTTAGCTACATCCTATTTTTATATTTACCTTTTGGAACTTAAAAAACTAACTTTATGAAATGCTGCACAGCTATAACTGGAGTACAGATTTATACTTTATTTGTTACACACACACTTTAATCATAGTCATTATTTGTATTCTGTGATTGTGCCTTTAAAAAAATAAATAGCATAGAGTATTATATGGCCTACTGATAAGCACAATTTAGTGATCGTTGACTGAACTACTGGACAGTAACATAGAAACTACAAAGTACACTTGTTGTACACTAACCGTCCACTCCAAGGGGCGATGACTCCCATATAAGTAAGCAAAACTACAGCTATGAACACAGCTGCAGCTGCCAACAATCCTCCAACAATCAGCAGCTGCTTCCATTGCCCCTTAGGATTTAAACTGTGCAAGTACTTTAGGGCACCAATGGCCATAAGAAGAGCAAACACCCCTGCAACAAAGTGACACATAATTATTGAAGATGTTGTCAAGTTACCCAAAACTGTCAGTTCTTTAACCGAGTTTGAACTTTATGACACTTGATATAAGATTCACAATAAAATTTATTGAGGCATTTGGGCAGCTAATTATGGTTGATTGTTTGTGGTGGTACCTACATGTGTAGCTGTACATGAGTACAAAAAATAATGTATTCCAAACAATATTGTATCAAAATTATAGTATTGTACAGTTTAATAAGTAGTATGTTCAAAAAAATAAATAAGTGAATAGACTAATAAATACTATCATGACATTTGATATTTTTAAAACCTTTTTCAACAACAGTTGAAACAAATTCAATTTGTTTCAATTAATAAATTTTATTTAGTATATTTAATATTAGTATATTTTAACAGCCTTCATAATAACAAAGGTGAACCGCTTGGTATTTAAACAGTGTGTTTAAGAATCATTTAATTAAAGATTCACTTTCAATAAATAATCAACTGTGTAAAGATTACATCAAATCTAGGAATACTAAAAACAGTGGCTGATTAGTTCATTAAAATAAAAATAATTAAATTAGTTTTACCAATGCGAAACTCTATTGAAACATAATTGAACAGTGGCATGTAAAATTGAGTCCACTGAACCATGATAACCAACCTTATTTTTACTCAATCGAAATTAATTGATTGTGATGCTATTGTCATGTAAACATTGAATGAAAAGCAAAAACATATTTCTTTTTAAATCAGCTCTGCCAGAATAACTTTTGTGAGAAAAACATAACAAGCAGGCAGCATTCATAATATTAGTAGAGATATGCCAATAAACACTGTGATAAAAGTGTAATTGCTTTAATGTATTTTAGAAAAACATTTGTTTCTAGCTGTAAAATACACTAACAAGGAAATTGGTCATGCCAATACACTAAAATTAGCTTATCAATATTCAGTACTATTTTATCCAAATGTATAACCATAAAATTTACATAAAACAAAACAAGAAACAAAGCCTCTCTACTGATAATTAAGCATAAAATGATTTTGTATTATTATTAAATTATTATAATGTTGATATTTCTTTTGCATGTCATGAGGGTTTTCTGGAATGACGGGCACCAGGTGGCAGTACTGACACAAAAGGTCTACTCATCCGTCAAATCGCATAATATGTTCTCATAATCTATCAAATTTGCTCCAAAAACTTCATACAAAAGACCTCACATCACAATGGTGCCAACAGGTGATGTAACTTTTCACAAACACCCTCATTGATTTTCTATTTGAATTTGTTACATAAAGTTAAAATAAAATATTTGTAATCTCATCAAAATAGAAAAACTTAAATTTTACCTGAAGCAGCCATGTGTTCACTAGTTCGAATTGGTTGAAATCCGACAAATGGTATCTGCATAGACAACAGTAATCCCACTATGTAGAAGACTGTGTAACTCACAAACAAACGCTGCGAGAACCGCCCCATGATGAGCAGTACAAACACATGTAATGGGATCAAGTTTATAATAAATACGTAACCACCCCATGCTGACACCTGAAAATCATATTTTGTTAATTCAATATAACAATCATAACCACTTCATATTTGCTTCTTTATAAATAATTATGAAACAAGCAATACTGACCATGTAAAAGTATGAAAGTGCTGTGCATATAGACCAGAATACAGATCCACTCTTGACACTCTTTAACCACAAGTAGTAAGTAAATTGGAGAGCAAATATAGCTATACCCTCATTATCATAGCTTCCTGCTACAGAACGGCTACTGTAGCCTGGTACAATTGCTATGAAACATGCAGCAAAAAGGCCAGCACCTCTTGACCACAACTCTGATGTTAAAAGGTATGTTGCTATAGCTGTTAGACCACTGTAACAAGGACCACGACAATTACAAGGTTAAGTAATTTCTGCACAGTAGGTTAAGGCAAGACTACCTATAATTGCAATTCAAATATGACAATAACTTATACCTGAACACCGGAGCTAGAAAGACACATATATCTCTTATGTGTATAGGAATATTTAGTGCGTGTAGAATCCAATGAATGGTGCCCGATGTCAACATGAGACCAGGGTACACAGTACCACCGACTATACGGCCGAGTGGGTACCATGCTCGCTCGTCAAACCAATTCAAGAAGTTGTAGAAACCATGCTGGACCATGTATGCTGTGGACCGATAGTTGAACCTAAAACACGTATGCATTTTTATTAATACATTAACCAGTCTCAAATAAATCATGCTGTCGTGAAGACAATGGAATACTCACCATGGGTCGAATTCGTGGATTATACTTTCAAATCGAATTACAGCAAATAAACGGGACGCAAAACCGGCCAGCCAAGCGAGGGACAAAACTGTAACAGTGATGAGTGTACTGAAGCCGGTAGTATTATGAAATATTCCCTTGTTGTGGCCATTGCCCGGCGTCGCAACGGCGGTGGCCGGCATTTTGACTTGCGTTTATATTGTTAACTATTCTAAATTATTGCAACTATTATATTTTCATACATCAGTTCCAGCAATTCGATTTTATGAAAATTGACTTTTGGCTGACTGACGGACACGTCTCTCATTTAAAACTTGCCAGACGTAAATATCAGATGGCTGCATTCCAGTTGATTAAAATCCTCTCATATTAAGCCAGAATATATTATTGTCGTGTTCGTGACATGGTCATGACGTGTCAGCGAGCTATTGGTTCCATACATTTAGTAGGTATAGAATTCTATAAACTTAAAACTAAATTTAACATCAGTTTCTCCTTTTCATTCTGTACAGAGAATGACAAGGATATACAGCTGTCAAATTTAAGTTTAGGTTTAGAGAATCATGCCAGAATCGACACTACTATTGTCAAATTTAAGTTTAGGTTTAGAGAATCGTACCGGAATTGACACCAATGGTGTCGATTCTGGCATGATTCTCTAAAGCTATACTTAAATTTGACAACAGTGGTTGCTTTCCAATTACAGCATTATAGCGCATTAAGCGGCATAATGCTTAACGTTGAGTGTTTCAACTACAGCAACGCTTCGCACAATTGAGCACTCTCAAAAGTGATGCTTTCGTGTGTTTTTTCTTTAAGTTGGCATTGATCGAAATTTTTTATTTATATGTTATCGTTAGTAATATTATTTATTGTTGAAAAATTATTGAAGCTTTCGTTTCATTAAATAGTTTTTTTTAAATAATCAAAGTTCATTCAAACTGTTAAAAAATAAACATAAGTATGGCTGAAGGTACAAACAATGACTTTTTTTTTCAACACTGAACTTAGCGCACTCTGCTGGTGCATTTGAAAACTAATTCACGTTCCAATTAAGCATCAGCATAATTGGGCATTGTGCGGCACTGAGTCGCATTATGCTCTGTAATTGGAAAGCATACAATGGTTGCTTTGCATTATAGCGCATTATGCGGCAATGCTTAACGTTGAGTGTTCCAACTAAAGCAACGCTTCGCACAATTGAGCACTCTCAAAAGTGATGCTTTCGTGTGATGAGTGCAATCGTACCAACTTAGAGACAGAAAATTAACAAGTGTTTTTTCTTTAAGTTGGCATTGATCGAAATGTTTTATTTATATGTTATCGTTTGTAATATTATTTATTGTTTAAAAATTATTTAAGCTTTCGTTTCATTAAATAGTTTTTTTTAAATAATCAAAGTTCATTCAAACTGTTAAAAAATAAACATAAGTATGGCTGAAGGTACAAACAATGACTTTTTTTTTTCAACACTGAACTTAGCGCACTCTGCTGGTGCATTTGAAAACTAATTCACGTTCCAATTAAGCATCAGCATAATTCGGCATTGTGCGGCACTGAGTCGCATTATGCTCTGTTATTGGAAAGCAACCAGTGTATCCTTGTCATTTTTTAAACAGAATGAAAAGGACAGACTCATGTTAAATTTAGTTTTAAGTTTAGAGAATCCTGCCAGAGTCTACACTCTAAACTAAAATTTGACAACAATGTATCTTTGTCATTCTCTATACAAAATGAAAAGGACAGATTGATGTTAAATTTAGTTTTAAGTTTAGAGAATCCTGTCAGAATCGATATCATTGATGAGATTAAATGCTAAGGATGAAGATACAACTAATAGTAATATTCAAGAACTCATAGACTTAGAAGAGGAGTAAATATTGCCTTAACGGGTGTTGATTTTATTGACTATTTTAAGTTAAATTAAAAATAATGAAAGTGTACTATATTTTTTTATAAATACTATCCTTTTCATTTTTTTGTGCTATCTTTTCAACAAACCTAAATCCAACCCCGATCAACACTTAGTTGTCATTCTGTAATACGGGCCTAAATCATTAATGTAGGGCAAATAGTTTAGTCGTATAACAATGGTCAGTATCGCGTATCGATACTGAACCTGAATATTTCGTAATGTAATAAGGTTTTACTGTATGAGGAGAAATTCTTGTATTCATTTTCAACAGATCTATTTATAATTTTTTACCTCTGTGGCTGATTCCGTTTAGAAAGTTTGCGTTGACGTTTTGGCGACTGATTAGATTACTTGCTCAGTGGACAACTGACGTTGACATTTTAGCTAAAAATCTGTGTTGTTCTCGTTTGCTTTATTTATTAAAAATTAAGTAAATATTTATTAATAAATGCATTTATAAAGTACCTGAATTATATTGATTTTTATATAGGCATGTCTAACTATCAAGAAATAGTTACTTTAAATGTTGGCGGCACAAGGTAACACCGATAGATCAAACTATTACAAAGTTACACTATAAGTATTTCAGACAAATTATTTAATCACTTAGCTGTATTTCTTCTTAAAATTGAAATTTAGTGTATTATTAATAATAGTTTTGCTTATTGTTAAGTCTAGTGATTTTTTAGACTATATAATTAATAATTTCAGATTTTCTACTTCATGGCATACTTTAACCTGGGTACCTGACACATTCTTCACTGCTTTACTCAGTGGACGGATACCCACAGTCAGAGATGAAACCGGCGCAATATTTATAGATAGAGACCCACAACTATTTGGTCTAATACTTAACTTTCTTAGAACCAGAGACATAGATTTAAACAATGTGAATATAAGATCTCTTAGACATGAGTGTGATTATTTTGGTATAACTCCTCTTAGCAGGAGACTTGCACTATGTGATGAGATGAATCATTCTTCATGTGGTGATGTACTTTTCTATGGATATTTGCCACCACCATGTAAGTCTTTTCTATTGTTTTGCAGGTTGAATGTGTTATCTATAATCCTATAATCTGCTAATTAATGTCAAATGTTGATATTAGTAAACAGTCGTATTTTTATCAGACTTTTTAAAAACAAATAATCATTTTATAGTAAAACTAAAAATCACACCCATTGTTGATAATACAATCTTATCTGTTTACAAATGTAGATAATCTTGTGTTTTTAAATTATAAATTATTATAATACCTAACATTTACAAATATTTTTAGTGAGTACTGCCCTACCTAGCAACAGTAATGGACGATCTGGCAATAGTTGTTCAAGAAAAAATTCTACTGCTTCAAGTTCAGAGGTTTCTAGCAACCGAACACATTCAAGGAATTCTTCATTGGATCTACGCACTGTTGGAAGAATACCCTCACAGGATCAATTAAGGTTGGTAATATCATATTAACAGCTTTTGACATAGCAATTATTTAATTAAATTAACAATAGGACCTGCTCCTGACATGACTAAACTTTTCTACAGAATGAACAGGGGAGACCCTCTGTTCATTCTATTTAGAGCATAAGAAAAGCCATCAAGAATCAGACTTATATTATGAATAAATTTAGAGTAAAATTTCAAGCAGTTCCTCTGCTTTATTGCCTTTTATTACCTAAACTATGTTAAAATCTTAACAAAATCTTTTTTAATCAGACACAGGTAGATATTTACATACTGTAAACACAGTTGGTTTTATCAAAGTACTTCAAATATGAATTTTAACAATAGCTGTAAATTTAAAAGAACATATTTTTTTAAATAATATCATATTGTAGTCTCATGTGTCTATTGTAGTCGTTGTGGCAGAGGACATTCAAGGGCAGCTTCCCTAGGCAATGCAGACTGTCAGAAAGGACTGAGACCACCTGAGAGTAAGTAAATAAATACTTAACCAAACATAGGTATTAATTTTTATTCTACTTTATTTGGGAAACAATATAAATACCACCAGAAGCAAAAAGAAAGTACATAGATATATCAGTGAAGCCTTGCAGCTTAAGGCTAGGAAAATTTCGACGTGGCTAATAGGGCCGTGGTAGCATAATGGTCAGTGCATTCGCCCGGATAGCGAAGGATGCGGGTTCGAGTCCCGTCCACTGCCTGGTCCGCGTGGATTTTTTTCTAGTAAACTTTTCTTTAGATTTAAACATCTAGCAGTTAAATGGTGTCCGTGATGGTAGCGTACCCACGATCAATATACGGTTTTTCGTTATGCCATTAAATACTGCGTAAATAGTGCCAAATTAGTGTAAAAATAAAAAAAATAGTGCCTCTTTAATTTAAGAAATAAAGACCATTTTTACTGTGTACGGGTACACTAGCTTGGCGTCATGGTAGCGTACACAGTAAAAATGGTATTTATTTCTTAAATTAAAGAGGCACAATTTTTTTTTTATTTTTACACTAATTTGGCACTATTTACGCAGTATTTAATGGCATAACGAAAAACCGTATATTGATCATGGGTACGCTAGCATCACGGACACGTTAAATGCTTAAAAAATAAATAAAATCATAACTATAATTGCTATTTCTTCTTTCAAATGTTTAATACTTGAAAAAGTATTCATTTGACATTGTGGGTTGCCTACAATGCGAAGAGATGGCGCTGCCTTGCAGCTTAAGGCTAGGAAAATTTCGACGCGGCTAATAGGGCCGTGGTAGCATAATGGTCAGTGCATTCGCCCAGATAGCAAAGGATGCGGGTTCGAGTCCCGTCCGCTGCCTGGTCCGCGTGGTTTTTTTTCTAGTAAACTTTTCTTTAGATTTAAACATCTAGCAGTTAAATGCTTAAAAAATAAATAAAATCATAACTATCAGTGAAGTTTCTACATATTAGTTACATAAATGTGTATTTGATCTAAGTATATACTTTGGAAAGTGCGAAAAAAATGATATTTTGTCTTTTCAGTTACTACATGGTCTGATAATATGAAGGTACAAATAATAAAGGCACATCACAACTGGATTGCTGTAGCATATTCCCATTTCGTAACAGGATATAGGTGGGTATTTCTCTCCTATTTATGCAAATTTAGCTTATAGTTATTTAGCTGTGTGAATTAATCCTGTATAAAGCTGGAAGTGGTTACAGAAGCTAGTTTATGAATTGATAAATATTATTAATAATAAAAATCTATTGTTTTTCAAGGTTATAAATTTACTGAGATATATTAACGTAATTATTTTATGTTATTTACAATAACTTAATATTTAGTAGTAAACCTCTTCTGTTTTTCACCACCATTTTCTTATTGTTGTTGATTAAGAGGAATCTTTCATTTGCGCAGCCGCGATCGGGCCATAAGGTTCGTAATTACATACACAGTTTCAGGCAATCATATTATTTGTCAGGTTGGCTGATGCCATAAGGCATCATGCTAATTGGTAACGATTGTACGATGGCACGATATGATCTCATCGTACGATGAAAATAATGTACCTTTATTCGTACGACGGCTTACGCACTGTATAAGGACACTTTTGTACCCTTAGCATGAACGAATAACGAATTCGAATAGTTGAATTCGATCTCAATACGTGTCAAATATCAAGAAGTTTTGTATGAAAATTTGAACAGCGCCACAACCAACCGATCGAATTCAACTATTGTAATTTTGGTTGGTTGGTCATCGTGCGATCGATGCCCATAGGACGACGCCGGAGGCTGCGTTTCCACAGAAGCGGAGCTGCACGAAGCTAAACTGAGTCTTAAAGAAATTGACTATTGCATTACTCGAAATATATATGTATGTATTTTGGTCCATGTCTATAAGACTGCTCAGCTCCGCGCAGTTCCGCTTCTATGAAAACGCAGCCTAAGGTCTACCTCATCAAAGTAAACAATTTTCAATTAAGTCACATTGTACATTGGTTAGAATTCAATTGCTCTCCAATACGAATGCAATGCATTTAACAGTTCACAGTTGATCATAGTTAGATGACGCAATTTAATTCGTGATAATATCCTTATAGAAATAACTATTCAAGGAACAGAACAGACTTTTGTGTTGCTAGGAACAGACCAACTAACACAGAAGACAAACCAACCAACTGAAACAACTCATCACCATATCCTTTGTGTTATCTTATCAAAAATCATTAAAAATTAAAAACAATAAAAGAAATATACATGAAAGACGATTAACTTAGAAACTACACTTACTCAATCTGGCATACTGAAATATGAAACAGAACTACATAAATTAATGAGACATTTATACAGTTAAAGCGAGTTTCCTGCATCATTTCAGATTGACAGACTCATGTGGTTGGTATGTCGTATTCCAATCGCCAGTACAAGACTCTGTAATCGAGAGGATAGCATTAAACGCTAAGACTGGCGGTAGCAGCGCAAACGCTAGTGGTAACAACGCTACTGGCACTGATGTAATGTTGGGGGTCGCAAGTGGTCCTTTAGTTCGATTGTGGGCTTTCTCAACTCATGGAGAACCTGTGAGAAGAACGTTGATTGGTTTGTAGCCTTTATTAATAATCTCCTACATTTACACTTTAAAATTAATACTACTAAGATCCCCTTACTTCTCTGCAAAGGTCTCTCCTAGTGCCCTAGTGTCTAGAGTTAGGAGAATCTAATATCATTTTATTCCCTATGGGTTGTTCTTGTAACCCTAATTTTCACATAGAATAAGGCCTGAAAGTATTAAACGCTAAAACTGTTAGTGTTACTCAAACGCCAGTGGTAAAAATGCTACTGGCACTAATGTGATGTTGGGGGCCACAAGTGATCCTTCGTGGCAAGTGCTATTTTTTCACTGCACTAACTCACTACCTAGCGCCACATAAATATCATAATACATAGATGAAATTATTTAAGTACAAAATAAATAACCATGGCTCAGGTACAAATGCTTGCTTACGTCATACGAACATTTATTCTCCTAACTTTGAACCCAGGACCTCAATGACCTATAGATAAATGACGTTGAGCGAATCGATCGATGGCTGGTTCATACGTCATGCTCGTGAACGGGTGCTGCCAGCGGAGATGAGTCAGCTCTAAGTTCCTTGATCATGAAGATGTTAATGTTTAGTACACTTATTATATATCACACTATTTGTATTAATACTGTATAGCACAGCCATTAAAAATGCAGGTAAACAATTAATGTATATTTAATCATTATGTAATGAAGGTGACATCTCTAATTAATAAAGTCATTTTTCCAACTTGACGACTCTGTAAATAATAAAACAGTGAGAAAAAAGCAGCCCTTGCTGATTTTTTTGTCGATTCTTCTCAGTATAAGGTATCCCGCCGTAGATTTACGAACCGATGGCATAGCTTTTTGACATTAATGAGTGCTTGTAACTACCAAAACTGAATAAATGATTTTGATTGTTTGATTGATTGATTACTGGCAAGACTTTGTATACCTATACCACTCTACGGCATCAAATTGTTCAACCTGGGCGTGCGTGTGGAACCTTTTGTTTGTGGGTCCACAATAGTCTCTCTCAATGGTGCCGGCAATCGTAGTAAACAGGTGTTTGACACACAAGCACCTAACATTGGCAGACGCATAACGTGGCCTATCTTAACACCGAACACACACATATTAAAGTAATACATAAATAAATATGGAAGTACAAATATATATATAAAAAGCCATCCCTCAGGTACAAATGCTTTCATTCATCTTAGAAACATTTATGTCACTATTTCGCATTAAGGACCTCAAAGCTTGTGAGACCTGGAAAACCTGTACTAGTCGGAAGTCATCAAATACACAGTTTTTGCCACATTTATACAAGAATTTATGTATTTATAACATCACACAGGCACATTCAATCTGGGAGTGCGTGTGGAACACCTATTGTTTGTGGGCCCACAATTAGTCGCTCTAAGTGGAGCCGGCAGTCGTAGCAAGGCCGGTGTTTGGCATACAAGCACCCAACATTGGCAGACTCAAGACGTGGCCCATCTCACTACATACGACACTGCTGGCTCGTTCCTACTGCTGGGCACTGCTACGGGGGCCATCAATTATATAGGTGTGTGTTTTTATTTATTTTTCATCATTGTTACATTTAGATTTACATGATTATTTATAGTCTATTCAACTTCCTCTGAGACAAAAGGTAAACAAACGATAAAAAGGTTTTTCAAGGGGTCAAATAAAATATATGCATATAAAATATTTCTATAAATTAATTTTATCTGTAATTTATTGTGACTAATTAATTTCGATTCATTTTTTTTTAATATAAGTTGACTTTATTCAATATAACGATTTATTCGATATAATGATTTGATTTTAACCGGGACATTGTTGAATATATGTTTTTTTTTAAATCTTACAAAGCTTTTAAAGGCTTTTTCATCAACAGTTTACCAGCATTTGTTGCTTCTTTTCCATAACGCATGTGGTCTTCACCTATAATTGTAATAACATTAAGCTTAAGTATTTTATCATTACCTGCTAGATTGTTGTGTCAATGTTTATTATGTTGGTGATCAAATAAATAAATAAAAAAAATAAAAGTGATCCTAAAAAACCTAAAACTGTAGCTATTCCCAAACTTTGAACGCATTATAATACTACTAAATTGAAGAGTAGTGTACTAATAAAGCAAATCATTTACTTGGAAATGTGAAATATTGTAATCGGCCTGATTACACCTGGCCATCTTTACTCTCCATAGAAACGTTTTAGATACATTGGTTTATTTGTTTAACTTTTGTCTCAGAAGAACTTGAATAAAGTGTAAGTAACTTTATGTAGTGTTAAGTCTAGAATCATAGAAGTTAAGCAACATTCGCATTATCCGGTTGGGACAGGTGACCAAAAATTTGTTATCTCTGTGCTTTGGAACATATATTAGGCCTTATAGATTTTAACGGGATTGTTACCATGTACCTTGTTTTTTATGAGTCTCCGATATTTCGGCACTGTTGCAAGCGCCATGATCACGGAGTAACTGGAGTATTCAAAACAATATATATATTAGGCCGTTGGTGCTGGATGCAAACGTTAGCACCACCTACCTATCCGCTACTACTTGACCCTAGTAATGGGTCATGCCATGACCCGATCTTCGTATTCCATTCAAGGGTTTTCGACATTCACAAGTGCTTGTAACAGCCTATACTGAATAAACGATATCGATTTTTTGATATTTCTTTTTTGTAACAAAGCAGCATTACCACTTAATAGGGTATTTGACAAATTTGCCATACTGCTCTCATTATAACGTCAAAAAGTACAGAGTAATGTCACTTCGACAGAATGATTACACAAGCACGTGACGTTATTTTAGGCTCGGCCAATCCTAGGCGTTTTCGGTCACGTGACAATAGATTAAACAATACTTTTCTAGTTATAAATTTTATTATTTTTAAAGCATGTAACTGCTTGATGTTTATACTTTTACAAGTATTAAACATTTGAAAGAAGAAATAGCAATTATAGCATTTGACATTGTGGGTTACCTATAATGCGAAGAGATGGCGCTGCCTTGCAGCTTAAGAATAGCTAGAAGAATTTCGACGCGGTCCGTGAGGGCCGCGGTAGCATAATTGGTCAGTGCATTCGCCCGGATTGCGAAGGGTGCGGGTTCGAGTCCCGTCTGCTGCCTGGTCCGCGTGGAATTTTTTCTAGTTATATTTTCTTTAGATTTAATACTTTTCTATTTCATAATTTTTATTGCCATTATCAACTAGGTACTTTTTTTGTCAGAGTAGACATATCGAAATTATTACTTTATAGTCATCTCGCCCAAATTATGATTATATCTGTTTTGCTTCTAGATATGCAAAAGTTTCCACTCCGCATGAAGGACAACGACTTACTTGTCACGCAATTGTACAAGGATCCGAACCAAGAACCAATCACGGCCATATCTGTATATTTAACACCGAAGACCAGTAAGTAATTTTTGATATCGCTTTTTAGGGTTTCGTACCTCAAAAAAAAACGAAACCCCTTATAGGATCTTTGTTGTCCGTCCGTCCGTCTGTCTGGTGGATATGATATGATACTCAGGTCTACTGTCCCTTGGAGCTGTGAAAAAATCAAACTTCTAAGCCAAATCAATCAAAAGATACAGCCGTTTATGCCGCAAATTTTCGAAACTCGCACGGGAATCAAAACCTACAGGGTACTTCCTGTTAACTGAGAACCTTGAATTTTGGTATGAAGTAAGGTCTTATTGTACAAATAAAGGAAAAATTGCGAAAACCGTAAATTTTTAGTTACATCATATAATAAAACACATTTTTGGAAATTCAGGTTTATACGGAACCCTCGGTGCGCGAACCCGACTCGCACATGGCCGGATTTTTTAAAAGAAAGTAATCGGCCTGTTGTTTTTTTTTTTACTCGAATCTAAACGTTTGCTAAAACAACCATGTTTATGTAAAAAAGGTGGTAAAAGTACATAGTTCGCCTGATGATAAGTGGCCACAATAGCCCATAGGCGCTTGCGATACCCAATTATTATGGGCGCGATGCCTACCCTAACCCCGTCCCCTACCTCGTGGAGCCTTACAAATCTCTTTCACGACAGAAAACACAACCAAAGTAACATTGCATTACCAATCTTTGTTTGTGAAAGAAAGGGTGAAAGTTACTAATCTAGTTTGTGAAACTGTATCTTTAAGGCTTAATATTCGCTGAAACGTTACTGATAACGCTAGTAAACTATGTAAATTATTTAGATAGAATGCACGGAATTATGACCCAAAAGGTGATTAGCCGTCAACATTTTCACTTTTTCTTAGTGTACTTTATGGTTAAAGTACCCGCTCGCCCCCCACTACACATGCACCTAATATATAATAGCCAATCAAACGACGCGCAAACAAACAATCGAACCAATCAACGCTCACACCCGAGATCAACGGTGCAATCGGAATTAAGATTTGGTCAAGTTATGAGCATTTACTCACACATTATTGTGTCCCGCCTGCCCCGCCCACAAGGCCCTTCTGACCTCTTTCTGTGTTCTGTGACTATAACCATAGAGCACCCTCGCTAGAGCCGGCATTACAAAAGTTTTGTTTCAAATCGGAATCACCAAATTGGGGTATAATATAATATAATATAATATATAATAAATAATATATAATATAATAATTATATAATATAATAAATATATCTTTATTGAAATAAGGTCATACATTGCATAATAATACTAATAACAATATAAAATACAAAATAATGGATGCCTGAACTAGGTTACAGTTAAAATTGTACCTGTATTTCAGGCTTTTATGATCTAAATAATACATAGAATATTTAATAAATTAACAAATTAATTAAAACAGAACTTAAAGTAATCATTATATAAATGTTGGTAAATGTAAATAATGGAGTTACGTTCATTTATTTACAAATAAGAAGTAATTCTTCGGTCTGCTCGTATGTCAGGCTGTGCAAATAATTAAATATTACAGTTCTACAGTTAAAATAGTTTAATGTGTAAATACCTAATACTCTATTTAACTTATTATATAAGAAAGGACTTAGGAAAGTAGAGAATCTATGTGAAAAGATGTATTTTGAATCATGTGTAGAGATGCAGACTATATCTTTCCGTCTTTTGTTAGTGATATCAGAGCAAAAAGGTGAAATGGTGTGTTGTTTTAATATGGTGTGCATAATGAAAAGCTGGCGAACAGTTAACACATTACAGTATTTGTAAAGTTGATGCGTAGGATATAAGAAGGGAAGTGAATTGGCTACTTTTAAAATGGCTCTCTGAGCTCGCTCGAGGGGGATTTAAATAGTTTTGAGAGCTCCACCCCATGAAGTTATACAATATTGAATTACTGATTGGCATAAGGCCTGATATACCTGTTTTATTAGTTTTGGACCTGCAATGGTACGTAATTTTTTAAAAATATACATTAATTTACGGATCCTGACTACTAGATTTGCAATATGCTGTCTAAAAGATAATGTGTCGTTAATTAAGATACCAAGATATTTTATATGGGATGTGTTCTGTATTAAAGGGCAATCGCATTTATTGACTGAAGGATATTGGCATTGGTGTGCGTATAAGTTAGGATTTGTAAACCCATGACAAGGCTGGCGCATAGAAAAGTGAATATAATTGGTTTTGTCAGTATTCAGTGTTAGTAAATTGCAGCGAAGCCAGTTATTTACACCATTAAGACCAAGTTGAGCTACCTCATATAATTCTGACCTACTATTGGCGCTAAAAATCAAGGCCGTATCATCGGCGTAAGATATAATTTTACCATATTTTAAATTAAGGTTACATAAATCATTGATGTAAACGAGAAAAAGGGTAGGGCCGATTATACTTCCCTGGGGAATACCATAGCAGGTCATTTTCTGGTAATCACTTTTAATATTTCCTATTTTAACGCATTGAGATCGATTGTCTAAATAATCTGCAAATAGTTTTAACTGCGTTCCTCTAATACCCAATGCTTCCAACTTTTTTAGAAGCTTCGGAATTGAAACGGTATCGAACGCTTTTGCTAAATCAAGAAAAACAGCTAGAGTATGCTTTCCTTTGCCTAGTTCCTGAGTAATATAGTTAGTCAGGTTATGCACCGCATCTGCTGTTGACAACTTTGCCCGAAAACCAAATTGCGTAGGTGACAAATAGTTATTTTTTTCCAGGTAGTCAATAAGCCTTTTGTTAATAATTTTTTCTAATAGTTTTGATAAGGATGGAAGCACTGATATTGGTCTATAGTTATTTACTTGATCTTTACATCCAGATTTATAGACAGGAGTAACTACTGCTTTTTTTAAACATTGTGGAAAAATACCCTGCGAGAGGCAGATTTGAAAAATGCGTGTTAACGGTGGTATTAAAATATGCTTAAAAGTTTTGAGGATTTTATTGCTAATGTTATCAAAGCCGACTGCACTGTCATCTTTCAAATCTGTAATTATTTGTAAAATTTCTTGTTGGTCGGTATCTAACATAACAAAACTATTCCTACTGGTGGTAGCGTTAAGTGACTGAGAAAATAGATTTAGAGGTTGGTGGCGTTCTGCAAGGTCTTTTCCCATATTAATAAAATAGTTATTTACATAATTGGCTGATATAAGCGGTGAAGGATGGGTTAATAGTAAACTCGAACACGATTCGTGCCTTTTTGAAGTGTAGGTAAAATTTTTAATATGTCTTCAAAGGCGTTTGCTATCCTTGCCTGCTTTGATTAGTTCATTTTTTTCATAATTTGCTTTTAATTTTTTCAAAAGATTATTAACGAAATTCCTGTATCTCCTATAGATAACTAGCAATGTGAGGTTATCGGGATATTTTTTTGTCCTCATATGAAGTTTATCCCTGTGTCTTATACATCGAATAATACCCGGGGTTATCCAAGGTTTGATATTTTGATATTGTTTATTTGAAGCAACCACAGACGTATTATGTAATATAGCTTGTTCAACATTATTAATTAAATACAACAAAGATGCATTCGCGTCCGTCGATTGAAAAACTGGGGCAAAGTCAAGCTTGCATAAATCGTGTTCGAGTTTCTTTATGTTTAACTTAGATTTTACTAGTTTATGATTCAGTTTAGGCAGCGATAAATTTAAGGTTAGTAAGACAGCGGAATGATCGGTAAGCGGCGTTTTTGTGACAAGTGTTAGATATGTTGACCTAGATTTTATCATCATATGGTCGAGACAAGAACCACTCTGATGTGTTGGTAATGTATGGGCTGGGTAAAAACCATGGTACGAACATAGATTGAGATAATCTTGGGTTCCAGCATCATGTATGTCGGGTATAATGTTTATGTTAATATCACCCGTAATTATTACATTTTTAAAAGATGTTAATGATTGAAGTATCTGGTCTAAGTTTCCGTTGAAATTATCTATGTTTGTGACAGATGGGGATCTATATATTGCGACAATAACTGTATCTTGGTTAATATGTACCAACAAACAACTACAACCCCGAAGAGCTGGTTCCTCGAGGGTGACTTGCAAGGAGTCTCTAACATAAATAACTATTCCATCATTTTGGTTGTGATTATTTTGACTATAAAATAAGTTATAACCTGGCCTTGTTGGTAGGTTGCCGTTCCGTTTTGTTAACCAGCACTCGGTTAGTATAATTACATCACAAACAAAGTTAAGCCTATGGAGGAAAATATCAAAATTATCAATATTTTTATAAATACTACGTATATTTTGGGTGAGTACAGTTAATGAGTTTTTATAAGCGGTCAGATATTGTCTACACTCTTCGACTTCACATAAACATGAATTAGACATAGATAGATCATCTATTTCATTTATTATATTAATGTCCATAGTAAAGTTCTAATTATAACAAATAAGTGGCGCTCTAGGCGCCTTAATAATCAATAGTATTAATGTACCTAGTTTCGGCAGCTTTTTTAGCTGGACATTCGGCATCTCCGGTCCTATGGCCGCACGGTTTTTTAAATTTAACGCAAGTGGCACATTTTGGTGGATCGGCTTTTTTTGTGCAGTCTTTGAGAGAATGGCCATCTTCGCCACAGTGGCCACAGGTAGAAGCTGTCGCCTTGCAAGTTTTAGCGGCATGGCCATATTGCTGGCAATTGTAGCATCTAGTTACAAGTGTGAAATCACGTACCGAGCAAAAATTCCAGTTAATAAAAAGTCTGTCCTGTATAATTAAGGCTTTGCGTATAGTAGCAGGTACTTCTAAAATATAGTTGCAGGTGTCTGCATCTCGTTTTCCTGATTTGTGGCTCAGTTTTATAGAGTTCAGGAAAGTATCTCTAGATATATTTAATGACGATTCTGCTACGTTTTGCTCGTAGATGCACTTATAGACGTCACTTTCAGTCATAGATGAAGGTACTCCTATGATTATAATACGCGGCTTGCGTTTATTGGTCTCATCAACAGTCAGGCCTGAGTTTGCTAACAGCACTGAATTTTTCAATTTATGGATGTCGTCTTTGGTCTCAGTGCTGACGACCACTCCTCCATTTCTTACTTTACGAAGACCACGTACTTTCAGTTTCATCTCCTCAGGGCTAATAATTTTTTGGACCAAATTTTTTATTTCGTCACTACTTTGTGCAGCATTGCTTGGGTAGATTACCACAGAACTGACAGGGCTAGGGCGAATAAAGTTGTTGGATCCCTTTTTTACCATGTCTGCAAAAGACGTGTTTGTTGTAGCAGATTTAGTGCAGGATTCCTGTATAGTCTTTTTAAAATCAGTAAGACAAGCTGAGAGGTCATGGTTTTCCTTTAAAATTTGCAAATTAGAGTGAGTTGATAACGCCTTTTGCTTTAAAGACTGATATTGAACAGCCATTTGCGCAACTCCATGTCCAACTTTTCGACAGAGATTATTAATCCTAAGTTTGTGGTCAGATACTAGTTTTCCCTCATTCGATATGGTACATACTTCTTGTAAATATTGCTCAATTGAGGTAAGCCAGTTTTGTATTTCCGGAGTAGATACTATTTTTAAGGTATCCATATCATCCTGGTCTTGAGTTGGATGGCTGGGCGTCGTTGGGGGAGGAGTGCGGCGAGTAATGCCGCTTCGATTAAAGGGGCTCTCACTTGACATAATTAATGAAAAAGGACTTACACTAAATATTTATGTCCATTATTATAATTTATGCACGTATAATTGTCACTCACTGAGCGTAACCTCATAATACGCTTAATCACTATTTAAACTAGGTCACTATTATTTAACTGTTAATTTATTTTATAAGCGCGATGAGCACGTCTGTACGCTAGTACGATCGATCGATCGATCCCACGGTATGCGGGAAAGGTAAACCACGTTTTGATTGGGAATGGAAGACTACGTTGGATTACAAATTAGGTGCAAAGTTGTATCACGTAATTTGGGGGCGTGTTGTGTAGTATTGCTGCATAAGCCTGGTACAAGTAGGTGCCCCTGTATTCGGTCTCTAGTGGGTGTTTATAATGACTTTAACGAACCTACTGATCGTTTTCGCGTCACGTTTAAAGCCGCATTATCCGTGGTCGTTTGATCTTCTATCTATCTATCTTCTATTCTATTGTAGTGTATAATTAGTGTATTTAGCAAGTAAGCAATATTGATTTATATTAAGTGACGCGCGTGAGTCGCGACGGCATTAATATAAATCAATATTGCTTACTTCTTTCTATATTCTTTGATAAAATTTATGGGGTAACTGCATAGAGATAGCGTACGGTACGGTAACTTATTTTACTTAAGTAACCTACTAATCGTTTTGGTATTGGCCCCCCTAAACATGCATCAGCACCGCGATATGATTTATTATGTTAGAGCTTTTTATCGACACAACTGTCGAACTCCATATAGTGTGCCAGTTTATATCGAAAAATCGCTTTAACATATCTCGTTTTTGTGGTCACACTAGGGGGGCAGGTTTATCGCCTTAAGACCACAATATAAATTATCTCGATTGAGTATGCGGAATAATGTTCGGTCAACTGGGCTACGAACATACATTTTACTGTACTATTACGAACCCACTAATCTATTTTGCATTACATTAAAACCGTTACTTGTAACATGTGGTTTTGGCATTTTCTCGTGCTGTATTTAAAGAACCTAATGGTGTCTATGCTAGCACGATTCTCTAAACCCAAAACTTAATTTTTTGACAGCAGTGTATCCTTGAAATTCTCTACACAGAATAAAAAGGAGAAACTGATGTCAAATCTAGTTTTAAGTTCAGAGAATTATTCCAGAATCGACTCCACTAATGGTTTTTGCATCAAACCGCGTTATCTACCAATGTCTGAATTTCATCAGATCTATGCGGCAACTGGATAGAGATAGCGTACGGCACCCGGTACGGTTCCGTACGCGTAATCGTGCAGCACCCGGAGACTGTAGGGCACGGACCGCAGCTGTTCCAGACGTTTACTGTCCACCAGAGCCCTATCACGAAGGTAAAACTCAAGTCAGTCTTAAAGAATCCAGTTATAATGGGGCGCAGTATTTTATATACAGATCGTTTCCAGGTGTCTTTATCGGAGAACTACCTAATATCCGTGTGCAGCGAATATAACCATGTGCGTTCGTGGCGTGTGACTCGGTTCAGAGGAATGATCTCCACTCAACCTGGGACCACGCCTAAGGCCGCATTCAAAGTATTGGCCTTGGAAGCACCTACTGCTCAGCCTCATAATGATTGCGGTAAGTCTATTAAAACATTTAAACATACTTAACTGTATATCCTCTGAACAATACAATCTCGACTTTTCCTCCTTCTCATAAGAACCAAAGTTAGCTGAAGTTGCCTACAAAGTGCCTACTGCTCGGCCTCATAACGACTGCGGTTTAAGTCTATTTAAACATGCTAAACTAAAACACATAAGGAACAATCAAATCCTTCTTATAAAAACCAAAGTCAGTCATTATAATATTTCTTCGTTATTAGCAAGTGCCTAGATATAGAGGAATATCTCCACACAACCCTGGACAAAGCCTTAGGCCGCCTTCAAGTTATTGGCTGCTCAGTCTCATAATGACTGCGGTAAGTCTACCAAAACACTTGGATACCCCCGTCTTCGTCTGCGAATAAAAATAAGTTTCACATACAAACTTCCAACTCCCTTTGCATTCCCTTAAAAGATGATCTCTACGATTAAAAATAATCCTACACTCTATCCCCGAACCCAAACTATGTTTACACCAATTTTCACCTTCAAAGTACGAGCTATGCAAGTATCTACAGCTCACCCTCATAATGACTGCGGTAACATGTTAAAATAGACCTTCCGTCCTTCTCATACGAACTAGAGTCAGTTATTGGCCAGATATTTTTGAGTTCGTGGCGAGTGACTAGAGTTAGAGGAATGATCTCCACACAACCCCGCCTAATGTCACTATTACATTTGCTCTTTAGCCCGAATACGAGTTCCAATGGAATTCGGATAAACGACTATATAAGTGTAAATGAGCGGAGTCGAGTACGCCCGTATTCGGGTAATTTTCGTTGTGGTTACCCGACACCGTCTTCCAGCACGTATTCCAATGTTCAGAGGAATTTATGTCCACACAACCTGGGACCACGCCTAAAACCGCATTCAAAGTATTGGCCTTGGAAGCACGGTTGATGTTAAAACATAAGTATTATAAAAAAGCACTTTGGTAAATGACGTCGTTACTCCGCCATGTTCTTTTTATAAAAAAATCTTTTTTCTTTAAAACCGTATACCTAACCTAACCTAGCCCAGTTTCACTCAGGACGAATGTAAGCATTCTATCGTTATCTCAATCTTCAAAACGAGCTTACAAAGAAACATACATACATTCGCGTAACATAACCCATCTTCTGGCTTAATCGGGTAATTACAATCGAATAGATTTTTGTAAGGATGCGATTTCGATCAATGGTCTTTGCTGAATATCAGTAAGTTCTGATATCTTTAACAATTAATATAGAAAAGTTCCTTTGTTCACAGGTCCTTATGGCGAACAAGATGAGGAACAAATATTCATACAAAAAGTTGTGCCCGACACAGATACGCTTTACGTGCGCTTAGCATCTAATGGAAAGAGGTACTCTAATAATAAGTGTAGTCTGAAAGTAGAATGGATCGTTTACACTTTGTTGCTAATTTAACACTCCTATATAAATCATTTTTATATGTTTGCAAAGAATCGAAATGATATGAAACCTTATATAATGCTAATAAACAAAAAGTGTTTTATTAATCCTTGAGTAAAAGACCGCCAAATTATATTGGCCGTTTCCTCGTAGGTATAGTATGAAGCACTATATATCCCTAGAAAGAAAGTGCTACTTAAACTGCACCTTCGTTGGCAATCAGTCACTTTCTCGCCTCGGTGAATAATTTAATATATAATAAATATTTGCATGTGATTTGAAATGGTTAGATAGACTTAAGTACAATATTTTGCATGACCAAACGTAACTACATTAGATAGGTAACGGTAGATTATTTAATCTACCGTATTTACAGCAAAAAAACTCATTTCATTGTGCTATTCTAAAACTCCCTAATGTTGTTTTTTTAAGCATTTAACTGCTAGATGTTTAAATCTAAAGAAAAGTTAACTAGAAAAAATTCCACGCGGACCAGGCAGCAGACGGTGCCTTGTGGGTTACCTACAATGCGAAGAGATGGCGCTGCCTTGCAGCCTAAGGCTAGAGAAAATTCGTCAGGGCCGCGGTAGCATAACGGTCAGTGCATTCGCCCGGATAGCGAAGGGTGCGGGTTCGAGTCCCTTCTGCTGCATTCTCCTCGTGGAATTTTTTCTAGTAAACTTTTCTTTAGATTTAAACTCCCTAATGTGTTTGTATACAGGGTGTGCACAATCCGTTCAGTGGACGGATCGGCAGTTTCCTGTTTCGTAGTGGCTGAATGCGAGGGTGCCCTTCGCCCGCGTCGCCTTTTACTTTGTGGCCATAGGTCCGGGGCTACGCAGATGTGGGACCTCACCGCACCCATAGACAAGGCAGCTAAACCGGCGCAGGCGGTCGCGAATGGAGGTAACGTATACAGAAAGAGATTTGAACGCTGCTTATATCTAAGGTCCAATTGCAACAATTTTGATAAATCTCAATTCACAACTAAACTAGCTTATTACAATAATTATTACTTTATATTTCATACTATGAAATAGACTATCTATTATAATTATTTTAAAACAAAAAAATAACTTTAAAAAATTTAGTTTATCTACTGCTTTGTTTTGTTTTCTTACATTGTTGTTGTGCAATAAAGATCGTTTTATCTTCTCGCAGCTGAAGGCGATGACTCCCCAGTAGCCGACGGCGGGCCGACACCAGACGAATTAGTTCGACTACTATCGGCGTGCGATCTCGACGCATCGCCCGTGCCTGTGCTTCCACAATCCCCAAATAGGCCAATACAAGCGCCATGAAGAAAGGCCCACCGCCTTTGCGACGCGATTCGAAATCTTTTTAGCATCGTCGTCCAGGCATAAATAAAGAGCCTATTAAAAATGCCTTAAGTTGTGGGCCAGGCATAATTCCAAAAACAAGAGTTGCTAAAAATTTACTTCTTTTGAGGGTAGTTGATGTTTGAAACATCTCATAAACAGAAATGAAAATAGAAGGATTCACCTATTACTTCGCACTTGTAGTGATTACCATCGACCTGCCTTGAATAATGAGTTGGACTGGTTGGAGACTGAGGGATCATGTCATTAATCAAGACCGGAACGTTTATAAACCCAAACAATGCAATCATTTCAGCAGAATCCTTTGCGCCGCAATACGCAATACTGAATAGTAATAACATGATTTTTGTACTAATGCAGTGTGAATTGTGAAAATTGGGAGTGAAGGGAGGACAATAAAGACATTTGGTCAACTACTAATGGTCCTCGACAGATAGTACGTAACTATTGGGGTTTTGGTGAGGAAAAAAACATGCCGTTTGTTTTTAAGTAGACTTGTGACGTTAATCTAAGTAAAACATTTTTGTTGGGATCTATTTGGTTGCGCAAAAGAAAAAAATACTTTATGAAAGAAAAAAAAATCTAAACCAAAAGAACTGTAGACTAAATTTAAGAAATCAACGGTATTTTAAAAAACGCCTTGTGTGGTAGATTTGGTTCAATTATTTTAAAAGAGACTTACTTATATTGATGTTTTTTTTTACCTTTTTTTCGTGATGTATTGCTGAATCATCTTCGAGTTTGTAAATATTAAAAACTTTATTTATTTATGTTTTAGTTCCTAAATCAAGTGCTTGTTACGTAATGGCTATATTAGCATATGAATTACTATTTTTACATAAATGAGAAAACAAAGTATATTTTATTAATATGTAGTTGTTATTGATCGTTATATTTGTACAGTCAATGACTCGGTGAATACAATTTAACATTTTCAGCGCTCTTATTGTGTAGAACTTAAGAGCTATATTTGAAAGTGTATCCACCATCACGGCCTTGACTCAATAGCAAGTGTTGTTACCATTAATATTATTATGTATGATGAACTTATGGCATCAAAAGACTGATTTGGTTTTTCTCGTACGGAAATGATGATGGATTTTTTCACATACTTATTCCATTATATTTGTTGATTCCTTTTTCTTATTATTATTGTGTGCTTGTTGTAAAAATGTGAGTACGTTTAAAACCTTAACTCACCATTCCATGTAGGTAAAAATCATTAAGAAATTCATTAAAAGTTAAAAGAAAATAGTTGGAAGCCCGATTGTTTTTATAATTTACTCGAGTTCAACATCTTTGAAACATATCCCTTTAAATGTAAAATTCATAAATAAAACTGTACACCTATAAAAAAAAACTTTTAGACAACTAGCCTTATATTTATTCATCTCACTACTAGGCAATCGTTTCTTATTTAAGTTAAAAACATTTAAATTATTTAAAATAACAATAGACTTTTTATAAAATTGATATAGCGGTAAAATCCATTGTGTTGCATACTATGACTGTATTAATAATTTCATGTACAGAATAGGCGTTAAGACTCGGAGTTGGTATCTATTAAGCTGTAGCCTTAGCACGAACCAATATCGCATTGAATTGTCCAAAGTTTTGTATGGAAGATTTTTGATTCTCGTTACATACGTTGTGGCCTGTTCAAATTTCTTAAAAAAACTTCTTGACATTTGACACGTATCGAGATCAAATTCAACTATTCGAATTCAATATTGGTTCGTGCTAAGGGCACCGCACTGTTATTATTGTCAGCAACTGGACAAACCACAGTATATTTTAAGCACATAATATGTTAAACTAAGAGGCTATCATGTTATTTGGCGCCCAAAGTGGTGTCAGTTGAAATGCGAAATAGCTTGGGGGCTTATTGTCTTACATTAACTCTTTCTGCAACATCCTTTAAAGTTAAAGCGAGTGACAATATAGAATAAGCTAATCTTTTTTCCCAAATGCAAAATGATTAAATTATTAACCGCCGTGCTATTCTGTAAGAACAAATGTGAGTTTGTTGTAAATTTTTGTGACAAAAATGATTGATGTTATTGCAAATTAATAAACAAATATCTATTAAAGTTCTTCCAATTCCGCAGTGAAAAGTGAGTTTGTTCTTACAGAATAGCACTAGTTCTTTTCTTTCTTCAAACCCCATTAAATTTTCATAACTTGAGAGAAGAATATTTATAAATTATCACAAATAAAATTTTTATAGTCGCAGTTTTTAATTACTTTAATTTAACTAAATGTTATGTATTAAACTTCACATTTGAAACAACACTATTTAGATGAAATATTTATACAGTATATTTCTACTATCTTGATAGAGTATGAATAAAACCTTTAAATTTTGCAAGCTTAAAAGATTAAATTAAATATACATAGATCGTGCATATTATTGAAAATGAAGTAAATAAATATTTACAAAATATTTTGCGTTTACTTTTATTTTTGCAGACTATTGTTATAGGAAGCGAGCGGCAAAGTTCTTCAGCAAAACCGCAGACAAATAAACTTGCGCAGTAGACGTTTTTGTAAGTCAAATTGCTACAGCGCAAGCTTTTTTGCCTATGGTCGTTGTTAGGGAAGTTTGCCGGGGTCCTCCAGCCGGCATTGTAATTTGCTTTTATTTGATGTTAAGTCACAGGGCATACTAAGATTGAATATCGCATAGCAAAGGGACATCTTCGCGCTACTATTTATGAAACCCTCATGAAAGCAAAGTCAGATTTATCCTTGACCTTTCAACGCTATATTGATCTGGAGATTTCGACCTTATTACAATGTAAATTCTCTAAAGATATTTAAGGAAATAGGTCCCAAACTATAGCACCTGACTGTGTGTATAACATTTCTATCATTTGTAGTGTAGCGTCGGCTAATCAAAATGTAGGCAGTCGCATTAGAGAATGCCTTTCATCAGTATAATTATGTTGCAAAGAAGTCTGTGGTTATAAACTTATTTACCACAATTAGCAAAATGGATAAACGGCAGACTTAACGCTAAAAGTTTTCTCTGCCAGTCAATATTTAGGGATAAAGGAAGGAATGAAGAATGTGATTGTCATGGAATATTTTAATTAGGCAACTTCGATTTTGAGCGCTTCTTCTAACTTTTGATGAAAACCGCATCAAAATCAGTTCCGTGGCTTAGAAGGAATTGATTGGCGGCTATATAGAATGACGCGGAATCAGACATATTTTTATTGACTCAATTTTAAAGGTGCTGTGAATAAGATAAATCATTTATAGTACAAAGGATATTCACAAAATAAAAGTACAAAAGACTTAGAAAATATATTTATTTACTTTGTTATTTAATGAGCTCATTTTTTGTTCATTCCTCAATGTAGGTAGTGTGGTGTTTCGACACATTACTATATCTACAAAAAGTACTTATACTATGTTATTGAGGTCAAATTCAATGTTTTAAATACTTAAATTTACTCATTGACGTATAAAAATAAAAAGACACAATCGCGCTCAAAGTGTCGGAATCAAAATTACGCACACGCCTTTAGTACAGGTAATTTTAAACAGTCGTGTTTCAACATTATTTTTGATTACAATGCAACGGAATGACAGTGTTCGGTTAAAAACTGCAATCCTTTGCAACAACACCAAACTAAATCTTGAAAACCATGGAGTTTCATATTTCAGGTATGTATATGATGAAGTTTAAACTAACAAAATTACGAAACTATCTTGGCGTTTTCTATTATATTGTTAATTAATGACTATTTAAAAACAACAACAAAATAAGTCTCCCCATGTGCCCCGCGCGTCATGTGTATGTGGATGTCTCTTTAGCACCGTATTCAAAACTCTCCTCTCGTATTCGCTATGTGCACGACAGAGCGCCACCTACAATACGCAACTTTCCGGGATTATGCCAAATAATGACATCAGTTTGTATTTTATTGATTTCTAGTAAATATAGTAAATTAAAGATAAATAAAAATTATTATATATTGTATAATAATTTAAATACTGTCGGATTTCAATTCGGAATTTAGTACAGTCAATAATAACTCTTGTATTGATGTAATCTGGACTGAAACACTTGGGCATTGTTGCTTGTACGGTGGCTCTATTCGGCCAAAAGATTAAATTAGCAGTTGAACAAGCTAGATTTTGTAAGATCGAATGAAATATACGTGAGATTGTGGTTTTTTTGTACACCAAATTACACACTCAATGCTGAAAATGTCAAGCCAGTTTTCATTTTTATCAAAAAAATCAGAAGTCGGTCTTTAGTGGAAACTGTACATTTTTTCATAGTTAATGTTGTTAATAAAAACTCAAGATTGCTAAATGACACACCAGAAGGATCTAGGAGTTCTTGATCATTTGTTATTGATGAAATACCAACAAATTCTTGACTTTTTGTTTCGGTAGATTGATCCTCATACGATTTTTTGTCAGTGCCACAGCTTTTATCTTTCTTTCTTGAATTATTTGTCATTAAAATTCTTGATGTTGGATTTCAGCATCACAGTGATCACTGTAAATTAATCTAATACAAATAAAAGTTGTATCTCTTAATTTCGATTCAGAAAACATATTGACTTGACATCCTTGATCGATCATAAAAGGTTGAGTTTGATTTAATTCACTCCCTTCTTCAATTATTATTTGACTTGATGTGGTATCTGAGACTTTTGTGGTTCTTCGTTTTGTCAAGCGTGTATATCTAGCTAGGACCTGTGAATCATTAACCTTCCTGTTTCGATATATATCAGGGAATATCGTAGGAGCATAACTCGGATTTTCTTCCTCGTCTGATTTTTCGTTTCCCATAAAATGTTCACTACAAATTGTGTCGTCAGGTTTGGGATACCATGGCGACCCATCAACACTAAAATAATAAAGACAATAATGAATATCACATAAAATATATAGCGCAAATAAAATTGATCATAATTTAAGGTTATTTCGCTTACTTATTT